TGATAGGAACTGACAGGCCACAGAAGAAAGGTTATGGCAACATCATTTCTTTACAGCTCTTTACTGTGACGGTGGTGAGGCACTGGAAGAAGGCCTATAGAAGTGATAAATGCTCCATCCCTGGCAGTTTCAAGGCCAGGCTGAGCGGAGTCTTGAGCAGCATGGGCTAGGATGAAGCTTGCCTGCCCATGGCAGAGGGGTTGGAATGAGATGATCCAACCGTAACGAATCTGTGTTCTGTGATCATTGCATGGCTACACAAAAGGTGTGTGACTAGACATAGGGCAGTTGCTCCTAGCTGTAACTGTACCCTGGAATTCGTGGTGTTCACAGTGTTGTTGCCAGAAAACTTTATTTTATTGCATATGATGTAGTCCTGGATACTTCCCTGTCTGGAATGAACTTTCATTACAAGTAGACCCTATGTCTTTTCAAAACTCTTATCACTTACAGAGTCATAGAATCATAGAATAGTTAGGGCGGGAAAGGACCTTAAGATCATCTAGTTCCAACAACCCTGCCATGGGCAGGGACACCTCACACTAAACCATGCCGTGCAAGGCTCTGGCCTTGAACACTGCCAGGGATGGAGCACTCACAACTTCCCTGGACAACCCATTCCAGTGACTTACCACCCTTACAGTAAAAATTTCTTCCTTATATCCAATCTAAACTTCCCCTGTTTAAGTTTGAACCCATTAACCCTTGTCCTATCACTACAGTCCCTAATGAAGAGTCCCTCCCCAGCATCCCTATAGGCCCCCTTCAGGGGGGTCTCCACGCAGCCTTTTCTTCTCCAGGCTGAACAGCCTCAACTTTCTCAGCCTGTCTTCATACGGGAGGTGCTCCAGTCCCCTGATCATCCTCATGGCCCTCCTCTGGACTTGTTCCAACAGTTCCATGTCCTTTTTATGTTGAGGACACCAGAACTGCACACAGTACTCCCAAGAGAGGTCTCACAAGCGCAGAGTAGAGGGGCAGGATCACCTCCTTCGACCTGCTGGTCATGCTCCTTTGATGCAGCCCAGGATACAGTTGTCTTTCTGTGCTGCGAGCACACACTGAAGCCGGCTCATGTTCATTTTCTCATCAACCAACAGCCCCAAGTCCTTCTCCTCATGACTGCTCTGAATCTCTTCTCTGCCCAACCTGTAGCTGTGCCTGGGATTGCTTCTGCCCAGGTTCAGGACCTTGCACTTGTCATGGTTAAACTTCATGAGGTTGGCATCAGCCCACCTCACAAGCATGTCAAGGTCCCTCTGGATGGCATTCCTTCCCTCCAGCGTATCAACCGAACCACACAGCTTGGTGCCATCGGCAAACTCGCTGAGGGCACACTCAGTCCCACTGTCTGTGTCAGTGACAAAGATGTTGAACAAGACCGGTCCCAACACCGATCCCTGAGGTACACCACTCGTTACTGGTCTCCAGCCGGACATTGAGCCATTGACTACAACTCTTTGCATGCGGCCATCCAGCCAGTTCTTTGTCCACTAAGTGGTCCATCTATCAAACTGATGTCTGCAATTTAGACACCAAGGATGTCATGTGGGACAGTGTCGAACGCTTTGCACAAGTCCAGGTAGATGAAGTCAGCCACTCTACTCCTGTCCATCAGTTCCATAGCCCCATCATAGAAGGCCACCAAATTGGTCAGGCAGAATTTCCCCTTAGTGAAGCCATGCTGGCTGTCACCAACCCCCTCGTTTTTCATGTGCCTTAGAATGCTTCCAGGAGTATCTACTCCAAGATTTTGCCAGGCACAGAGGTGAGACTGGCTGGTCTATAGTTCCCTGGGTCATCCATTTTCCCCTTCTTGAAAATGGGGGTTATATTTCCCTTTTTCCAGTCATCAGGAACTTCACCTGACTGCCATGATTTTTCAAGTATGATGGACAGTGGCTTAGCGACTTCATTCGCCAGCTCCTTTGTGACCCACAGATGGATTTCATCAGGACCCATGGACTTGTGTACGTTCAGGTTCTTAAGATGGTCTCGAACCAGATCTTCTCCTACAGTGGGCCTAGGGTCTCCATTCTCACAGTCCCTCTGTCTGTCTTCCAAGACTTGGGTGGTGTGGTCAGAGCCTTTGTGAGTGAAGACTGCGGAAAAGAAGTCATTCAGAACCTCAGCCTTCTCCAAATCCAGGGTAGCCAGTTCTCCTGATGGTTTCCGGAGTTGGCCTACATTGTCCCTAGTCTGTCTTTTATTTGCTACATACCAATAGAATCCCTTCGTATTATCCTTAACATCCCTAGCCAAGCTTAATTCTAACTGGGCCTTTGCTTTCCTAACCTGGTCTCTAGCTTCCCAGACAACATCCCTGTATTCTTCCCAGGCCACCTGTCCTTGCTTCCACCTTTTATAAGCCTCTTTTTTCCTTTGAATTTTCCTCAGCAGCTCCTTATCCATCCAAGGAGGTCTCCTGGCCCTCCTGCTGCACTTCCTTCTGGTTGGGATGCAACACTCCTGAGCTTGTAGTAGGTGATCCTTGAATATCAACCAATAGTCTTGGGCCCCCTTGCTCAGGGCTATTTCCTATGGTACTTTACTAAGGAGGTTCCTTGAAGTCCAGGACATTGAGCTTGCTGCATGCTTTTCTTACTCTCCAGAGGATCTCGAATTCGACCATCTCATGATCACTTCAGCCAAGGCTGCCCTGAAGTCACATTTCCAATGAGCCCTTCCCTGTTGGTGAGCACTAGGTCAAGCATGGCACCTCTCCTTGTCGGCTGCTCTATTACTTGCAGTAGGAAGTTGTCTCCCACACAGTAGAGGAACCTCCTGGATTGCTTGTGCCGGGCTGTACCGTCAGTCTAACAGATACCAGGGTGGTTGAAGTCCCCCATGAGAACAAGGGCCTGCGAGTGTTAGCATGCCAGAAAATACAAATCAGTCTTATGAAGGCTGGGGTTTTTTTTGTGTCTTATCTTCACCTAAGTCAAATTTAAAAATAAGCAGCACATTGTGCTTTCAAGCTGTCATTGTTTTGGGGAAGACACTGCAAATAACAGAAAACAAACTTGTGTAACTGCTGAAATGCCTTTTCTTCTTTGAAGTAGCTGCTTTATTAACAACCAGTGAGGAGAAGAAGGAGATACCTAGTCCATAAGCCCAGTCAAAAGGTTTGTCCTGTAATTTCTTTGTTTTGTTTAATGGAATTATACAGTAAAAAGGGATCTCTGAAGATTATGTAGCCCAGTCTTCTGCTCAGAACAAGGCTAATGCCCTGAGAACATGGTGTTCAACGTTTGGAACACTGCGGTCTGAAAATCCTCATGGATTGAAATTCTGCAGCCTCCTCAGACAGCCCATTGCTGTCCTTAAATGCAATCACAGAGGATTTTTTGCTTGTGTTTGGAATCAAGTCACATAACATCATGTGACTTAATGTCACGTGAAATTAAGGAAAACTTGATGTCATGTGTGACTGTTTTCATCTTGTCCTTTGTTTTCATCTTTGTCCTGTGTACCTCTTAGGAGGATCCAGTTCTCTACAACCTCCAGAGAACTGATGGTAGCAATTTGATGTGCCTACTTTGCCTTCATCTCTGTGAAAAAGCACAAAAACCCCAGACCCCTGAGTGTCCTCCTGTGATATGTATTCCAACCCCTTTGCTTTCCTTCGTTAGCCATATCTATCTGAGGCTATGGGGGGACTGTTGAGACAGCCACAGCATAGCATTAAGGTTTGATGCTGCTTTTAAATTAATGATCAGTAGTAACAGTGCCAGATATTATTAAGAAATAGTCCAGATTCGGAGAAATCTCCAGGAACTCGCCAACAAAGTTTAAGTTGACAAGCCGGTATTATTTATTGCGACGCCGGGCTGTGATTATATTGTCCTTAAATATACATATTCATTAGGTTACATACATTACATCATACGTCGAGAGGATCCCTCCCGCATGCGCACTAAAACGTGGTGGTGGGCTTTGGGACCCCTGGTGGTTATTTTTTCATCACTGCGTTTAGGATCGTTATGAGTGACCACGAGGGGGTTCTGGCAAAGCTTATCTTAGTCATTTCTCTATAGTTGCTAACAAAGCCTAAAGTCTTTGAAGTTACTTATTTACAACCCTGTTCCTCAGTCAGCCCCATTCTTCACCCTATTCTTCAGTCAGCCCCATTCTTCGCTCCTTAACAAGATGTGTGAGAGTTTTAATTCTCAGCTGCAGACAGAAAAAAAAACCTGTACCTAAATTTAAAATACAGCAATATTTTAAAGGTTAGCAACTGTGCCGAGATGCCGTTTATTGACAAGTATGAAGACATTGCTGTGTAGCATTGCCCCATTCCTACAAGAAAAATTTGCTATTCTGGTGTGCCTAAAAGTGACGTAAGGTAAGCAACACCATAGGATGCAGAAAGCAGCGTGACTTTGCTTATGCTGGAATATGGAGAAATTACAGGGCCTGTTAGATTCTACATGTGCAATTGTCAAACTGAAAAGGGATCTGTGGACTTGGATGTTTTGCAGGAGTGCAAGAAGCCCTGTGGGAGTTTACTCTGGTCTTGGTTTCTCTTTCTCTCCTCATCAGTAAGGTCCCTCTAAAATTCTGGTTTTCTTTTTTTTTTTGTCATACCTGTAAGGTTGAAAGACTGAGGAGAGCAAATAAGATATAAAACTATTCTAGAAAAGGGTGCCCGTCGCAGGGAGTTGGAACAGAATGAGCTCTGCAGTGGAAACAGCTGACCTCTCAACTGCGGGTCTCCGCGGAACACAAGCACCGCGGGACGGGCTGCGCCTGCGCAGTGCCGAGAAGCTTGGGCTTTGTGATGCGCAGGCGCGGCCGTCCGCTGTGCAGCGTGCCCTGCCTCAGCACCTACTCTTCCGTCTGCCGCCGCTGGAGGGTGAGGCCTGCCACCAACCAGCGGGGAGCCAGCGACCGCGGTAAAGGACGCTGCTACTGCCATTACGTGATGTGATGATGTGATGTGACGTGCGTGACGCGCCCCGCCCCTCCCCGCCCCGTCCCGTAGGCGGGCGACTTCCTCCCCCCCGCAGCGACCATTGGCTGCCTCCCGCCGATATTGAGAGCACCGTTCCCGCAGTAAGTCTGCAGCTGATTGGCTCGCCTCGCCACCACGGGGGAGGGGGGGGCCTCGGAGTCGCTAGCTGGAGGCGATTGGCAGAGGGAGACACGGATCTCCCGCCTCCGCGGCGCGCTACCGTGGCTAGGGCTTCGCCTCAGCGGGATGAGCCGCGTTTCCCCATGGAGACCAAACGGGCCGAGATCCCTAGCAGCGTCCTGGACGACCTGTGCAGGTAGCTGCGGAGCGGGGGCGCTCTCGGGCCTGCCTCACACCCGGCAGCCCCGGCCCGCCGGCGCCAGCTGTCCTGTGGTGCCGCGGGCAGTCTATTGCGGGGGGGCGGGCTAAGCGTCCTCCCTCTCTTCCTGACCCCCCTCCCCTGTGCATGGGGCCGGGCCCGCTCGGGACTGCTTGAAGTGCTAGGTGGGGTGGTGGGGCTCTGGGAGGAGTGGGGTGGCTTGGACTGGGGAATGGGGTAGCCCCGGGAAAGGGGCGCCCTCGGCAGTACCGCCTCGGCCGGGAAGCGGAAGGAGGGGGCTCGGTGCCGCTCCCCCTTCCACCCCGTGCTGTGTGGGGCAGCACCCGCCCCCGTCAAGGTTTCGTATCTTAGGGCGCCGCCCTCCCGGACGAAGCAGCTCCGGCGGGGACCGACCGCTTCCTCTGGCCGCTGGCACCGTCGGCAGAACCCGGTGTAGGGCTAGCCCGGTGGCAAGGGAGAAGCTAGGCACGGACATGGTGCGTGGGGTGTTTCTTTCGGTGTTGGGAAGCCCCTGCTGCTGGACCGAAGAAGGTAGAACTGTGTCGGTGGTGCTTGGGCCGGTGAGAGAAGAGTTAGAACTGTAAGATTGATGCGATGTGTGTAGTGATGGCTTGATACGGTACTCTACCATTCAGAAGTGGGGCTTCATTTAGAAGCGGTGGCGGGAAGTCCCCTTTGCTGATTTATCTCTGATAGAAGAGAATGTTGCAGTGAGACAGAAAAGTAAGAGCCAAAGGAATATCCTTCAGTCTGAAACTGACCTCTCTTGCTTGTTGGTCGTTTCAGGTTGAAATGGTTAGCTTTTCTTATCCTAAAGGCTGCACATTTAAATTTTCTTAAAACATAGGTTCAGTTTTCTTGGGGTTGAGGGCTGCACTTTTCCCCTTGAAGATCTCAGTCTCTGATCATCTACAGTGCAGCCCTTTGGACCTTTAAATTCACCTGTCACCCCTAGAACTTGATGTGATAGTTAGCATGAAATTTTCCTGCTGTCTTAGCACCTGGAATGAAGCCCTTCTGAAGTGTTTGCATACAAGAGGGAAACGTTATTAGAGATGGATAGTCTATTTAATGGAATTACTGTTTTCAAAAGAGTGAAAATGCTTAGAAGTGAGAATACCAGAGGAAGCTAGAACTGCTTTGCTCAGTAGTGTTTTGTTGCTTATCTAATGCAACAGTTGGAGTTTGCAATGCGCAAATGAATTTTCAGTTCTCTAAGTCTGGTCTCTGTTGTGCTCATGTTTCCATCTTGTTTCTTTTGGACTCTCTACAGAGAGATGGGACTTGTCGTTTAGGTCACTGCTCACATAGAAATCGGGGTTTAAGACTATTTCAGAAAATCCTTGGGGAATCACAATGCTTACAAAACTGAAATAGCCTGTCAATGTCTCTCCTAGGGGGTGGCTGATAGAAAGGCACATGAGTAATCATTGTTATAGGGTCAGTCCCTGTCCTACTGTGTGTGTTCCCCTGAGCTGCTGTCATCTTCTACCTTTGAAATGGTGTTTTGTCTTACAACTTGTATGAATGTAGTTGTGTGGGGTGGTTTTAATTAAAACTCAGAACAAAAAAAAACAAACCCACAAACAGCCCCTCCTCTCAACCCCAAGCCTTCCCCCCAACTGAGGAAGGTAGATCAGGGGCTTGTAGTTGCTATCTGTCTTGCTCTTAATCTTTTCCTAGTTTACCACACTGACTTTCGTCAGTACTAAGAGATCAGCCCTGCCTCAGATATGTTGCCTTGCTTGGACATGGACAAAACAACTAAAAGGAGGAGCAGACTCACCAGCTTTTCTTGTGGAAAAGAGAGAAGGGATTCTGGTATGTAGTGAGGGAGTGAAAGGGCTGATAGGTCTTGGCTCAAGGGAGAGGATAAAACAGTAAACAAGTGAAAGATCAGTGGTGCTGTGCTTCATGCTATAAACATGTTATTAAAGTATCTGTCTCTTCCCACATTCTTCAATCTATGGTATTAGTGGAAATTTTGGAAGAGGCAAGCAATTTTTCATGCTCAGTTATTGAGAAGATTCAGAATATTTGCTAGGACAACATATACTTAGTATTTCTCTCTCTTTTTTTTCAAATTCTGCCAGCAGGTTAAACTTAAGTACAAAAATAATTATAATTTCAGTATAACAAGTTTGGAAAGTTACAGGACCCATACAAGTTCTCCAGTATCTTTTTATATGAACTGTAGCAGTGTAAGCTGCAAATTTAAATAACTTAGTGCATTCTTAGGAGATGGCAATTGTTCTCATTACTCTTACCAAGCTGAACAGTGAAAGCAATCTGCTTTCAAATCAGGCTTGCCCAGTACTTCTGAGATTTTATTTTTTTAGTGAGTGTTTGCATTTTTTTTTTTTTTTGGTGGTGTAATTGAAAAGCAAAAAGCTAAATTAAGGCTTAGATGTCCACAAAACAGAACTGTTGGTTTTATTTGTATCTTGAGAGTGCTAGAACATCTGTCAGACTTCTACACTTTGTCTTTGAACTGGAATACTTTCCTTTGTCCTGAAGCAAAAGGCCTAGAATCTCTGAAGAAAACTCTTCAGAAGTTCATGTATGCAGGAGGTGCAGTCAGTATTACTTCTTACTGTATCTGGCATTTCACCTGCTTGGTACACTTTACATTTGATACATTTACCTGCTTGATACATTTCCTTATGACAGAAGGACCATCAAGATCATAGAGTCATAGAATGATTTGAGTTGGAAGGGATCTTAAAGCACATCCAGTTCCAACCCCCTGCCACAAGCAGGGACACCTTCCACTAGACCAGGTTGCTCCAAGCCCCATCCAACCGGGCCTTGAACCTTGCTGGGGATAGGGCAGGCACACCTTCCTTGGGCAACTTGTTAACAGTGTCTCACCATCCTTACAGGAAACAGCTTCTTCCTAAGATCTCATCTAAATTTCACCTCTTTCAGCTTAAAGCCTTTCCGCTTTGTTCTATCATTGTTTGCTCTTGATCGCAGTACTCCTGGTTTGTGCACATTCGTTCACTAAGGGTGGAATTTATCTTCCCTATAGTGACAGGTCTGCACAGTATAGTTCAGCAACTGATAATATGTTGCTGAATTAAAATGCGTTCGGGTTTTATTTTGAGCTGAAGCACTTCAGATTCCTCACATAGGCTAGACAGGCTAGTCAAAGAGGCTCATGTTTAGCTGCTTGGATCACTTGCAGCTGTTCCAACTAATTCAGCCAATTAGTCAAAATAAGAATTCCACTGTTTGGGGCAGCTACAGCTGTTTTAATGCCTACAGTTAATTCTCATGGCTGTTGGCAGCTCCCAAGGCATACAGAGGTGCCTTAGATGGTATCTTAATTTTGTATGTCTTGGGGGGTCTGTGGGTGTGGTGGTTCTTTTGTTTGTTTGTTTTTGTTGAGCTTGCTAGGTTAAAAAAACTCCATGAAGAACTGCTGGGTAACCTTTACCATATAATCAAATACTGAAATTTTAAAGCACTGAAAACTGTACTAAAGAATCAGTATAAGATGGCTCTTAAAAAGCCCGAACAACCTCCTACAACCCCCTCACCCCAAACAAAAAAACCCAAACCCACAGCTTTTCCCAATGGTATAAAATAACAAGAAGGCTTTTATATTCACCTGTTGAGATCTCTGTGAGAACTGAGTATAAGTGATAATGGTGGTGGTGGTTATTGTTAAATGCTTTCACTGCAAAACTATTCTCTGAAGGATAACAAAAATATGATTAAAACCACTAGTCTGATGCACTCCCCCCCCCTTCCCCCCCGAGCTGTCACAGTTTTTCCTTGCCGGTAAACTAAAATTAAGAGAGTTCTGCACTTAAAATTTGTATTCAGAGTAAAATGTTACACATCCATTCTTATTCAGAGAGTAGAGTTGCCAGCCTGTGAAAACAAGTTGAAAGCTAAAGCTGGGTATATAATGTCTTAAAACATTTGCTGAGTTCCTAGGCTGGTTTATAGTTACACAGTACCAGGATACACTTTGTTCTAGTTCTGGCAAGTTATTGTGTGTTTAAGCTTCAGTGGTAGGACCACTCTGACCCATTCTGTTAAATAACAGGTCACAGATATACATATCATTTTTTTGTCATGCTGTCTTGTGCTACTGAGTTGTCCTATACTGCATAAGTAAAGTGGAGATAAAAAATCTTGATGTACGTTTTGGGGCTGCTTAGTGCTCTCTCCTGTAACCAAGTGCTGTTGGTACCCTATCTTTTGAGTTCAGGACTGTGGTGGGTTAACCTTGACCTGCGGCCAGGTGCTTTCCCAGCCACTCACTCCCCATTTTCAACAAGATGGAAAAGCTTGCGCCTCAGGGAAGATTGCATACCAGTTTCTGTCATGGGTAAAACAGACTAAACTTGTAAAAATTAATTTATGTTGTTGCCAGTTTAAAATGGATTTGGATAAACAAAGGCAAAAATCAGACGCTTCTGACCTTGGTGTTTGTGATACCGTTTTACACTCCTTTTCTCTCTTCCTCTGCTTGTCTGGCGTTCTTGGCCTTTCTTAAATACACTTCTCTAGAGGCACCAACGTTGTGGCTGCTGGCTTCGGCTGTGCCCTGCGGTGGGTCTGCTGGAGCCCGCCGTGTCCAGCCCCAGGCAGCTTCTGCCTCTTCTCAACGAAGGCCACCCTGAAGCCCCCTGCTGGCAGCATGTGAGCAACCTTAGGGGTACCTGGTTTTAGGACTTCCATCACTCTAAGTAACTTAGGAGTTAACTTTGTGACTAATAAGTAGTGTTCTCATTGGCTTTGCTCATGTTACTTGTTCTAAGCATAATGATGCTTATTCCTATTTAGTACTACTGCATCTTGTATCTTCAGATTTGTGTTCAGCTACAGTGCTGGGCAATAAAACACCATCAACTAGTTATAAAATAGAGCTATTTCTTTTTTACCTTTACAGCAGCTTTATAGATAAGGGTTGTTTTCAGCAGTAATTGAGCGTTCAAAAATAAAGGAACAGTTGTGGGGTGGCATTGCCAATTAAAAATTGGTGAGTGCAAAAATCATGGAATGGGTTAGGTTGGAAGGGACCTTAAAGATCACCTAGTTTCAACATCCCTGCCACGGGCAGGTATGCCTCTCGCTAGACCATGTTGCTCAGAGCCCCATGTTAAGGTCTGCTCTCCTGAAGTTCAGGGCAGTGAGTTTGCTGCACACCCTCCTCACTGCCCTAAGGATCTCAAATTTCACCATTTCATGGTCATAACAGACAAGACTGCCCTTGAACTTCACATTCCCCACCAGCCCCTCCCTGTTGGTGAGGACAAGGTCAGAATATTGTTGAAATTAATAAGGTTATTTATGTAAGGGCGTGTGTCTGCTTCTTTAAGGCTATCTGGTTAAGGACTCTTTTCAGGGAAAATGGAATAAGAAAGGTAGGAAACCATAAACAAGGCATACAGGGGCACAATCCTGAGGGAGGAATAAGGGAGGCAGTAATGAGAACCAAAGGTGGCTGATTAATGGGGGGAGGGGTGGGAATATTCCAGCAAGTTTATTTGGGTACCTGCTTCTGGTAAATGAAGGGAAAAATGAGGAAATTGGAACCCAAAATACGTAGAGACAGACCTAAGAAAGCAAAAGTGGAGGCTGACAAGAACTAAACTTGCCAGCCACACTAATTGATAGGCTATCCAGAAACCACAGACACTTCAGCCTGGTCTTTTCATGTGATAAGACTGTAAACGGAGGTGGGGGTTGGAGGTGATTATCCCACACCGTGGGCTGGAAGAGGTGCAGCAGGGGAAGGGAAGAGGGGGCAAAACGGGGGTAGGCAGAAAAGGGTGCAAGAAGAGCCAGTTGTGTGTAAAACTGGGCTGGTCAGTATGCTTGTCTTGCTGAGCCTTTTCCCTGATAACCTTGGTCTGTCTTGTCTTGCATCTTATTAAATCTTTTTTTAGTTGTCTCTCTGTGTACTCTCACTCTCCACCCCATGTACATGTGTGCTGCAAGGGATTCAGGGATGAAGTGCCAGCTAGTGATGAGAGCAATTGTGAGGGGATAGGGTGTCAGCTAGTGGAGTGAGGGGGATGTCTCAGTGCCGGTTACCCATATGGGTGGGTATCTTGGCTTCCAGCTTCTGGCACAGTGAGTGTCCTGAGAACCAGTTACTGTGGGGGAACACTTGTGAGTGAGGGGCAGAGCACTGGTGGCTGTAGCAGGACCCTGGGTCACAGCGCATGTGCCTGGTGGGGGTCAACATCTTATATTCCCCAAATCTGTTGTGCACATGTGTTCACAGGCAAACTTCAGGCTGGACCAGCTGGCAGCACAGGGACCTGTGTGATGGGTATGAGGTCTTGGGATCTGGGCAGGAGTATTAGGTGGAAAGAGGGAGCTGTGGTCACCCCCTCCATGAATGTATGTGTATTTATGAACCTGGAGAGTGTCAAGTGTGTACTAGCAAACCTCTGCCTGCACTAGCAACCTTCTGCTAGAAGAGCAGGACACGTGCTGTGTCTCTGTGGTTGTTTCATGTGAGCCGTCTATGCAGGTTCTGTTGAATGCAGCACTTTGCGGCAGCTGATGAGACAGCTGTGATAGTCTCCTGTGTGTGTGTCCCTGGAATTATATGCTGGGCTTTGCTGCTGTTTCAGCCTGCCAAAGGGAAAGCTGCAGCCGTGTCCCTCAGCCTGGGCAAGGACCCCTTGCTGGGCTCCAGTGGCCAAGCAGGAAGCGGTCCTTGGATAGAGTGGCTGGAAAGGCAACCACTTTTGACATCCTGTAATTATACTTGTCAAATTTTAAGTAAAGATGTCTTCTAAATATTTCTGGTTCTGGCAATGATATTATGCCAGAACCAGAATTTAGTTGTTGGTACTCAGGAGCTGAATGTAAAAGATCTATGTCAGATGGTTTAAGTTCAATGGGGTAGATTATCTTAAATTTCTAAAAAGAAAATTCTGTTGATCTTATAAATAAATAAAGCTTCTTCTGCTTAAAAAAGCTGTCACACAGTGCTGCTTACACTTATATCCCTGGAACTCTATATATTTTTGCCAATGTCTGAACTAAAGCATAGAGTAGACTTGAAAAATAAACCAATTGTCTGTGTTTTAATAGGATTGTATTGAATTTTAAAATCTACCTAAATAGTTTACTGTGGTTTTAAGTGAAAATACCCTGTTCAGCTTGTGCCCAGACAAAAATGTGTTGATATCTGTTATCAGTTTACGGAACATTTACTGGACATTTAGAAATGCTTTCATTCTTGTAATACAGCTGTTTATGTAAGATGTCCTTACCCTCCCTTAGGTAATTTACAGAAGTTATTGTATTTGACTTTTGTGAGAGAGTATCATGATCCATTCTCTGTCTTGATTTAAAATGTTGTATTTTCCTTTGATGTGGAAACCTTTTGCTGTCTAGACTGCCAGGAAGATCTGGTGGTCTGTTGCTCTGTTCTAATGGATCAGGAATTACACTGTTGCATGCATTTTTGTTGTTAGATCTATTTAAGTTGATAGATTTGGTTAGTCTTACTCTTCTTTCTTTCCTTGCAGCCGATTTATTTTGCACATTCCAAGTGAAGAGAGAGATAATGCAATCAGAGTCTGTTTTCAGATTGAACTTGCCCATTGGTTTTACTTGGATTTCTATATGCAAAACACACCAGGATTACCTCAGTGTGGGATAAGAGATTTCGCTAAAGCTGATATCCTTTTTTACTGTGATTGTTTTCCGTCTTGGTGGCTAAACTGCAAACTGAATATTGTTAATGAAATATCATACTCTCAGCAGGAAAATGTCAGTTTGTGTTAGTGATTATAAGTTAGTATTGCTACCTGTGTGACTTTTACCTGTAAATTGCTTCCAAAATTTTGTGGCATCCACAAAAAGAGATGTTTCTTAGACTGCTAAAGAACTATGGGAAATAGGCAATTTCTGATCTTTGATTTTTCTTCATGTTTGCATTGTGGCAGATGAGGTGGGTTTCAGAGATGAGCTGTTGGAGCTCTTCATGGTGTTCTGGCTCCTTAATTTAATCCCCTTCTAAGTAAATGGTGACATTAATGCTAATATAGCTGAGGGTGGTATGTGTTCCCCCAGTGGTATGTATTTGTTGGAAGTACTGGTGCTTGTTCCTACAAAGCAGAAAACAGAAACAATTCTGTTGATAGGGGAGAGGATGCATTTATTCTGAATTCATATGTTTGGCTTCTGCTTTTTTAATTGCTTACAAGGGCCACTGGAATGTGCACTCCTTGCTGGAGGAGAAACTTCTGGCTTTCCTCCAGCAACTGTTTGAGTTTTAAACTTTTCCTGTATGTTCTTTATGTGAAATTGGAGTTTTGCTTCTAACTTTCATGGTAGTGTTGTTTGTGGTTTCATTGCACAAAATACTTCACAATATTATTATCTGTGGTTTCACTACACAAAATCTCTGTTTGAAAACTAATATTTACTTTTTGAAAAACTACAGTATGTATTTTAACAATAAATGTAAAAATATGCTTTTTTGTTGCTCAATATGTTGTAGTTATTTTTTATTTTAGGTACGGTTTTAATTATAAATATATTTTCAGACTGAAAAAATTCTTCTGGTAATTGTTAGCAGGGAAGGAAACATACAATGTAATTGATGCTATTTGTTCATTTCACAGAATCAGCTTGGTTGGTAAAGACCTTTTAAGATCAAGTCCAACCATTATCCCAGCACTCCCAAGTCCACCACTAAACGGTGTCACTAAGGGCCTCGTCTGCATGGTTTTTGAACACTTCCAGGGACAGTGGTTCCACCACTGCCCTGGACAGCCTGTTCCAATGCCTGATCACCCTTTTGGCGAATAAATTTGTCCTGCTATCCATGCTAAACTTCCCCTGGTGCAGCTTAAGGCCATTTCCTCTTGTCCCATTGCCTCGTACTTGGGAGAAGAAACCAGCCACCTCCTCACTCCATCCTCCTTTCACGTCCCCCCTGAGCCTCCTCTTCTCCAGACTAAACACAACCCTTCCCTCAGCCATTCCTCATTGTGCTCCAGGTCCTTCACCAACTTGTTACCCTTCTCTGGACCTGCTCCAGCACCTCAATGCCTCTCTTGTATTGAGGGCCCAGAACTGAACACAGAATTCAAGCTGCAGCCTCCCCAGTGCCCAGTACAGGTCACTGCCCTGGTCCTGGTGGCCATGCTATTTCTGATACTGGCCAGGATTACACTGACCTTGGCTACCTACCTGGGTTTTGTGGTTTAAACCCAGATGGCAGCTAAGTCCTGTACAGCCACTTGCTCATTCCCACCCCTGTACCCCTGCACCCTGTGTGGGAGGGGGAGGAGAACTGGAAGAATTTAAAACCTGTGGGTTGAGGTAAGTGCAGGTTAATAATTGAAATAAAGTAAAATATAGTGCTAATAGAAATAATACCAATAGTAACACTACTGATAACAATAGGGAACAACAGAAAAAGAGAAAAGAAAGCTCAGAAAATAGCAATGATGCACAATACAATTGTCTGCACCCCCTGACAGACCACTGACCAGCCTGATGTGAGCAATGATCTGTCCCTTCCAGGTGACTTCCCCCCAGTTTATATACTGGGCATGATGTGATGTGGCATGGAATACCTCTTCGGCTAGTTTGTGTCAGGGGTCCTGGCTCTGCTCCCTTGTGGCTTCTTGTTCCCCTCCCCACTGGCAGAGCATGAGAGACTGAAAAGTCCTTGATCAGAGTAAGTGCTACTGAGCAACAACTAAAGCGTTGGTGTCTTATCAACATTGCTCTCAGACTGAAGCCAAAACATAGCACTGTGCCAGCTACTGGGAAGAAAAATAACTCTGTCCCAGCTGAAACCAGGACACTGGGCACAAGCTGGCTCATGTTCAGTGGCGTCAGTCATCACCCCTAGGTCCTTAGTCACTGAGCAGCTTTCCAGCCACTTCTCCAAGCCTGTAGCAGTGCATGGGGTTGTTGTGGCCCAAATGCAAGACCTGGCGCTTTGTCTTGTTGAGCCCCATATCAATGGCCACAGCCCATTGATCCAGCCTGTCTAGATTCCTCTGCAGAGCCTTCTTATCCTCCAGCAGATCTACACTCCCACTAAGCTTGGTGTTGCCTCCAAACTGAGGGTGCACTTAATCCTCTCATCTAGATTGTCAATAAAGATACTAACACTGGTCTCAATACTAAGCCGTGGGGGATACTGCTAGTGACTGGTCACCAACTAGGTGTGACATCATTCACCACTTCTCAGCCATCAGCCAGTTTTTTACATGGTGAAGAATCTACCTCTCCAGGCCATGGGCAGCCAGTTTCTCCAGGAGAATGCTGTGGGAGACAATGGCAAATGCTTTACTAATTTCCACAGCCTTTCCCTCATCAACCAGGCAGGTCACCTTGTCATAGAAGGATATCCGGTTTGTAAAGCAGGACTTGCCTTTCATGAGCCCATGATGACTAGGCCTGATCCCTTCGTTTTCCCACATGTGCTTTATGGTCTCACTTGGAATCATCTGCACCATGACGTTCCCTGGCACTGAGGTCAGGCTGACGGGTCTGTAGTTTCTGGGATCCTCCTTCCTGCCCTTTTTGTAGAGAGGCACCACGCTGGCCAGCCTCCAATCCTCTGGTACCTGCCCACCAGACCAGAACTGCTAATGCATGATGGAGAGTGGCTTGGTGAGTTCCTCCAGCTCACATTTGCCAGAAATATTTCTGCTGCAGTATTGTATTTTTAAGTACTCTGCTATGGAATATTTTTATTTGGTAATAATAGTTTTATATGTAGCATACAATATTATACTTTTACTAAGGGCTTGTAAATTTGCTTTCAGGGTTGAGTTACAAAAGTTGTTCATGCTTTCTCTGCACAGTGAGTTTTGGTGAAGTGTATTAGCATTCAAATCTCTGTAAGTTGTTACCTTTAAAATAATGTTTTTACATAGTAAATACATAAATACAGATTCTGTTCTGTAGTATAACAAGAGATTATGGGAAAAATTTACCTCTGCTTCAAACATGAGATGAAACTGTAGTTTGTCTTTAAAATGAAAAAGTTCAAAATAACTGTCACATGGATACTATTCCTTCAAAATTAGGGGAGGCATTCCTTCAGACAAGTCTTGCTCCATCTTTTTTATTTTCTTCTTTAATTGTTTTGTATTAGAATTACCAAATTGCTTGATGCTTTCTGACCTTTAGAGTTGGTAATGGGTTATTCATAATATTTTTTACTTCCAAGAAAATATATCTTGTGAACAATCAGGGGAGGGAGTGCTGTTATTGCAAATGTTGAATCAGTATCTCTTGTATGTCTGCATGTGTTTTGAGACTGGATGCTTAAGTTCATTTTCCTTAACATGCTGCTGTACTCTTCAATCACTGCCCTTTTTTACTGCCTCAAGGTGAAGACGTACAAAAGGTTTTAGACGAGTGGAAAGAATACAAAATGGGAGTACCAACCTATGGTGCAATTATCCTCGATGAAACGCTTGAAAGTGTGAGTACAGAAATAGCTGTAAAGGGCTGGAGGGAAGGATGGCATATGCTGGCAGAAGTAATCTTATTGTTGCTTGCATTTTTTCATCTGGAGTTAAAAATAAGTGCTTCAGCTTCACAAAGACCTGACAGTTACTTGACACTGTTGAGTGTGTACAGAAATATATGGGAGACAATAAACACACTTTCACTTGGTTTTCACTTTCCACTTTTTTTTCTTATTATTTATTTAAAAATAAAAGTTTTGTTTCATTTTTATTCGGAGTTGCATGACCCTAGAAAAGAAAGTTACAGTTCTTGCTAGAACACAGGTTCCTTCCTCCAGGCTAAAGTATCATTTTGGTGAAGGGAAGAGATCTAACAGAAATTGGTTAGTATAGTAGGTGTTTGACAGTTGCATTCCCTTGCATTTTGCAGGTTCTTTTGGTTCAGGGCTATTTAGCAAAGTCTGGTTGGGGATTTCCAAAAGGGAAAGTAAATAAAGAAGAGGCTCCTCAGGATTGTGCTGCTAGAGAGGTAAGCTGTTTTTTATCCCCATAAATTTAATCTAAAGAAAATTTTGCTGAGAGCAACAGTGTATTGGATGAAAAGCCATTTTACTTAGATTCCTCTTTAATCAACTCATGTAAATAGTGTGTATTCTTGCAGAAGTCTTACACTAGAGCTTTTAGTGCTTTTCTGAGTTCTAGAGTGATAATCAAGGGTATATGGTTATATAATTTTAAATCACTGTCAGTGTTTTTGTTTTGCACTAACTTGTTAAGTGAGTACTATTTTTAAAGTTCTTTGCTGAACTATGTACTTTTAAGTATTATTTTTTGGTGCTTTGGAAATCTTATGTACTTTGTGGATTTTGGAATATTAATTTTAAGGGCCACCATGACTGTGAAAAGGTAGAACAGGAATTTTGTTTATGTACACTGGGCTATGTAAAGAGGCTAAAGAGTTGAGTTGGAAGTTGTAACAGATTAAGCAAGAATTGTGAAGAACTTTAGTTTCCTATTTGTCAGTGACGTAGAAACAAGGATCAGTGTGTATGGAAAATAAAACCTGAAAAATAATCTGTGGGATTTATGGCCGCTGGAGATCTGGATAGATAGTGAAGCTACATATTAAAAATAGCCTGTAAAAGAATATTTCTGGTATAAACTCAGTGTTCATGTAACCTAATGCATCCAGAATTTTTGAGAGGGAATATTAAGATAAAAGTAGTAAGATGCATTAGTTTTCTTCATGGTTGGACTGAACCAGTATCTGAGAAATCATAGATTTTTATTTTAAATATACCCATCAAAATGCATGAATGAAAAAAAAAACATATTTATGATTCCCTGTTGGTGCTTTCTATACCACTCACATATTTAATACGGACTTTGAAGAGCAAAATAAGGCATTATATCTTAACATTGCATTATTATGTAATGAACACACATGAAATACGTTTTCATGTTAGCAGTTACTGATGTCTGAGTGTAGGACACTAAAAATTGATGATGAAAAATTGATGTGCCAGTAAAACCTGTCTAGAATTTGAAGATGTTTTTACTGCCCAAATAGTTTTTATTGTGAATAAGATTTCCAAGCATCCGGCAGCATGGAGGAGCAGCTAGAGGCTCTCCATCCATATTAATTAATTACTACATGAAGGTGTAATAGAGTAGTTTTAACTTTTATAACAGGTCTGTCTGCTTTAAAGAAATGTAAAGAACATAGAATCTTAGATTCTTTTTCAATTATTGAGAGTATATCTGTGTGTAAAGGCTTGTTTTCCCCACCAGTGGCCTGCTTTCATGGATAGATCTGAAAAATAGTCATTCCTTCTCTTGTGGTGGTAGGTTCTGAAAGAATGAGTCTGAATATGCACACTGATTTCATAGCATCATCTACATGTTTCTCAGGTGTTTGAAGAAACTGGGTTTGACATAAAAGATTATATCTGCAAAGAAGAATACATTGAGCTGCGAATTAATGATCAGTTAGCCCGCCTGTACATCATTCCAGGAGTTCCCAAGAACACAAAATTCAACCCCAAAACTAGAAGGGAAATTCGGGTATGTGTTAATCTCATTTTAATCTGTAGAAACTTGGTGTTACAGAGCTTGATTTTTAAACATAATGGTCTGTAAAATAATGGAACTTCCAAGCCAGATGAATACCTCTAATACAAGGTAGAAATGGTATCTTTGCATTGTAGGGTATTGTCAATTTCTTGTGAAAGAAGCAAAGACTAGAGTAGCAGACCTGTTGGAAACTTTGTTTCTGATATCCATAATTTTGAATTTTGCTTATCTTCCTTGTATTGAAGTTCAGTTTAAAACTTCCCCATATTTTCATGCAGATGGTGCTACTGAACTGGGTATCTGCCTTTCTAGGGCATCTGCCTTCCTAAATAGGAAAAGGTACTTGTAGTTGACTAGACAGGATTGTCTTAATTTGTTGCATTAGAGACCTGTTTCCAAGATGCAAATTAAAAGATGATGAACTTTGTGGTTTTTTAATTTTTTTTTTTTTAAAAGCATCCCACTTTGTGTAACAGTGACCATCTGTGTGGGATGATGAAGAGTTCTTACAGTGACAGATTTTTGTGTCCCTGCTGAAGTGCTGTCTTCACCTGATCTAATACAAAGGGGCATGCCATTTTTGTGTTCCCCTATAGAACTATATTGAAAACCAGTTCAGCTTGTAACTTCTTTACATATTACGCATTTTATCTGGACTTGGGGTTTTGGGGCTAGGTTCTGTAACAGAAAAGCTCATGTAAGTTCTTTTATACTGTATATTCAGAATTCCTGATTTTGTTCCCCATTCTGCTAAGTATATAGCCTTTATAGGTAAAATAATGTAGAAATTGTAATGAAAATCCTGTCTTTTACCCATGTTTTTCTCTTTTAAAACAAAACCTGAAACTTACTCTGCAAACTTATTCCCCTTCTTTCTCATAATTTTTGAACAGGTGTAGGCGGTCTGGTTTTGGTGGCATTTTAAATAAGACCAGCAAAAATTGTAATGGCTTTAGAAGTTATTGAAAGCCTCTACCTTTATTTATGGCATTAAGTGTCAGTGATTTGGTTGGTGTTTGAAACCCTCATTCTAAAATTAGTTGCTGGGTAACACCTTTAATATTTTAAGTGCTGTATCTTTCAATGAGTATATGCTGTACCATCTGTTACTCTGTATTAGAGGTCAGGAGAATGACTCCATTGTTAATTAACCTTTTGTGAAAAACCCTGATGTGGTCCCTTAATTAAAGTCTTCCACTACAGTTTTTTAATTAATAGAAATAATTGGTTGATACATATTTGTAACATTCTGTAAGACTACAGTAGTGGGTATTTTCATGTTACTTCTTGTTCTTCTAGAATATTGAGTGGTTTTCCATTGACAAATTACCATGCCACAGAAATGACATGACCCCAAAGTCCAAGCTGGGTTTAGCACCTAACAAATTTTTTATGGCAATTCCCTTCATCAGGTATGTTTGAAATGAGGCAAAGGCTGGGCCAGTGCCTTTCAGACAACTTTAATTTCTTTAGATTTGTTCTGTAGTAAGTAGGTCTTGCCGCACTTCTCCTTGCTCACAGACCACTGAGGGAATGGATTTCCCGAAGGAATGGAGATTCCTCAGATAGTGACAATGGATTTTCATCTACAGGGAGCACACTCTCCAGGCCCAACTTGGAAAAAGCTAGGTAAGAACCAGGTCAGTTTAATAACTCTATATACTTTATATAAAATATTGTTCATACAAGTTGCTTGTCCTTTTTCTCAGAGTATTTGTGTTTCAGTATGTCATGGGTTGACCCTGGCTATATACCAGGTGCCTACCAAAGCTGCTCTGTCATTCCCCTCCTCAGCTGGACAGGGGAGAACAAATATCACAAAAGGCTTGTGGGTCGAGATAAGGACAGGGAGAGATCACTCATCAGTTGCTGTCATGGGCAAAGAAAGACTCATCTTGGGGAAATAGTTTAATTTATTACCAATCAAATCGTATGAAAACTCAAACCCAATCTTAAGAACACCTTCCCCCCACCCTTCCCTTCTTCCTATGCTTAACTTTACTCCCTATTTCTCTAACTCCTTCTCACCCAGTGGTGCAGAGGAACAGGGAATGGGGCTTGCAGTCAGTTCATCACATTGTCTCTGCTGTTCCTTCCTTCTCAGGGGTAGGTCTCCTCACTCTCTTCCCCTGCTCCAGCATGGAGTCCCTCCCAGAGGAGACAGTCCTCCACAAACTTTTCCAGAATCCTTCCCACAGGCTGTAGCTCTCCACAGACTGCTTCAGCGTGGGTCCTTTCCATGGGGTGCAGCTGTTCAGGAACAGGCTGCTCCAGCGTGGGTCCCTGCAGGGTCACAAGTCCTGCAGCAAACCTGCTCTAGCGCAGGCTCCATTCTTCATGGGGCCACGGTTCCTACCAGGATCCTGCTCCATTGTAGGCTTCCCATGGGGTCACAGCCTCCTTTGGTCATCTGCCTGCTCCAGCATGGGGTCCTCCATGGGCTGCAGGGGCACAATCTGCCCCACCATGGTCTGTACCACAGGCTACAGGAGAATCTCTGCTTTGGTGCCTGGAGCCTGCTCCCCCAGCTTCTTTACTGACCTTGGTGTGCAGGGCTGCTTCTCTCTCATGTTACCAGTCCTCTCTCCAGCTGTAGTTGCTCTTGCACAGTATCTTTTTTTTCCTTCTCAAATGAATTATCTCAAAGGTGCCACAGCTATCACTGACGGCCTCATTCTTGGCCAGTAGCAGATCCATCTTATTTCTGGCTGGCACTGGCTCTGTTGGACATGGGGGGAAGCTTAGGGCATGTTCTCACAGAAGCCACCCCTGCAGTACCCCCACTATCAAAACCTTGCCATACAAACCATATATACAGTAATAGAATGTGTTAGTAAAGAAAAGTAAAATTACAGGCATATCTCATAGGACTGTAAATAGGATGAGAAGCTAATTAATGTCATGATACCACCTTTTTGGTAAATTCACATGTCAAAACTGATTCTAGAGTCACATATATGGGAATTCAAAAACCAGAAGCTAGAACACATAGGTAACTTCCAGTGTGTCAAGTTCAGTGATTTTTTGCACTTCCACAGAGGAAAAATAGGATATTTAAAAGTAGGTCTTTCAAGTACCATCAGAGGTACCTAGCCAGCTAAAATCCTGTGGGAGTTGGTAGGGGAGCAGATGCTGCTGCCTTTTGATTCAGCTGAGTGAAAAGTGGTAGAGCAAACTTTAAAACCTGTAGGACCGAAGAGAATGCTACGCTGCAGTAATTAGACAAACACTGACAACAACAGGACAAATGCTAACATGAACCTAATCTGCTGTTAGTGCAGAACATAGGTTTCCTACCAGCAGGCAAAACAAAGCTGCATGAAAGCAGTGAGCATTATTACAGTTTCCACTTCTAGGTTACTTAAGCTTGTCTTCCAGGTTGGTCTCAAAAAGCAGAAAATTCTTTCATACTATTTTTTCAGCTGCCAATAGGTTTGAAGTTGTGTTATATACTCTGTCCCAGTTTCAGCTGTAACAGTTATTTTCCTCCTTCTTAGTAGCTAGTTCAGTGCTGTGTTTTGGCTTTAGTCTGAGAACAATGCTGATAACACACCGATGGTTTAGTTGCTGCTGAATAGCAACCTACCCTGATCAAGGACTTTTCAGTCTCTCATGCTCTGCCAGTGGGGGGGGGGGGGCACAAGAAGCTGAGAGGGAGCAGAGACAGAACCCCTGACCCAAACTAGCCAAAGGGGTATTCCATACCACAGCATGTCATGCTCAGTATATAAACTGGGGAGAGTTACCTGTAAGGGGCTGCTTGCTGCTCAGGTTGGGCTGGGTTATCAGTTGATGGTGAGCAATTGTATTGTGCATCACTAGTGTTTATTGTTATTTTTCTTCCCTTCCCTTTTTAGTTTTATATTCCCTCCCCTTGTTATTTCCCTTATCATTATTAGCGGCAGTAGTAGTTGTTTTATATTATACTTTAGTTACTGGACTGTTCTGATCTCAACCTGTGGGGTTTATGTTCTTCTGATTCTCCTCCCCATCCTGCCCAGAGGAGGGAGTAAAGGGAGGTGAGCAAGCGGCTGCCTGGTGTTGAGTTACCAACTGGGCTTAAACCACCTCTTTTCCTGTACCAGATCCAAACTTCGCTGCAATCAGCAGATGTTTACAGATGGCTTTTCAGGAGAGCAGTGTGTGAAGCCAAAACAGCCACAGAAGCCATATAATCATACTGAGATGGCTGAAGTTTTGAAAATAAAGGTAAGCTGTCTCATTAGCAAACGTATGTATCTGGACAATTTAAAACAGATGTCTTTGTTCAGAAGTATTACTCTCTGGCTTGAGAATACCGAGTTTTGTCACCATAGCATGCAAAAAAAAAAAAAGAGGGGGGTGGGGGAGAAAAATTTTGGGGATCCTGAGATTTATCTGACATTAGAGGTGGTGGGTATCAGGTGGTTGTTGTGTTGTTTCAGGTATAGATAGTAATTACTACTCACCATTTTGGTGTCCTCCACGTACCCTTTTGAAATATTTTGGGTACCACTACTGTGTATGTATCAGTGTATGGGAACTCACTGAGCCGAATTTGTTGTGTAATGCAGTGTCTGTAATAGTGTAAGAGAGACTGAGTAGCAGCTGGTGACGCTTTGTAACTTGAGTGCATGTTCAGTTAATTCCAGTGTGTTCCAGCTTGTCTACAAAAGATGCCTTTTACATGTTTTGAGGTTATTTGGAGGACAGATTTTACTGGTAAGTGTTAGTGCAGTGATGTTCAATGCTGCCATTTAAACTCAACTCTTTATTACATTTTGGACTTAATAGCAGAGTCAGTGCTTGAGGAGCAATGGCAGAAAGCAGTATCAAGACATTCCCAACCAAAAGAAGCGAACAAATGGAGTCCATAGCCAACCAGTTAAGCCAAATCATACCTTGGTAAGAAACGTGTGGTGGGTGTCTCATTAACAGGTTCCAGTAATGCTTAACTGTCCAGTTTAGGCCAGTGTCCTGCTGAAAAAGAGCACATATCCATCACAAGTATATTTGATCAGAATATTTGGTATGTGTTTAGAAATATGGTATTTCTTACATTGTATGCATATACATCTCTAGACAAGCATAGTATAAACTTCAGAGTTCACATTTTGGAAGTAAAGACTTGTTACAGCAGTTAAAAATTTGCCAGCTGTTTTAGTAGACCATAAGCTTTCCAGATTCTTGTCAGGTAACAGCCTGCTGTGGTGTGTCATAAGAAGTCACTGCAGTGTATGTCTTTTTTTATTCACATAGGATATATTATTGTAAATACGGAGTTTTGTTATGCAATATTTAGATACAAAGTGGTAATGCATGCTTATTGTTTCCCTTTCTAGCAAAAATGTTATGATACAGACTTGACTTGAACTGCAGAATCTCATAGAATTTTTTAATCATACAGTAGAACTACAGCAGTTTGTATATTCCAGTATGACATTCTTGTTTTGTTACCTTTTCCCTGCAGTAACTAATTGTCTTTGTCCCCGCAGTTCTGCTGGCTGGGAGAAGACTCGCTGAGATATCTCTCTTTTTTAAAATACAATGTCTATTTCACACAGACACTGATACCTACCCTCTCTAACCCTTCTTTATGGCTCTCCAATTCTACTTTGTTGACTCTTGTGCAGCAGTGAGCCTCAGTTCTCCATACAGCTCGGCTGGCTCATCCAGGCTTTAGTTTTGCTTGTTTACAGGCTGTAAACTAGATTCTTCCCATTAGGGCTTGTGGTTATTACCTTCTCTCTTTTTCATGTAAGAGTGCAGAAACCATAAATTCTTGTCCTGTAAACCCCTCAGTGTAGCAAGAAATGCTTAGTTGTGTTTGGGTTTGAGAATAAAATGTGAAAGAATTGACTGCCCAGAAATTTGGCTGTATAGGAGAAAACTGGTAGGGGAATCTGTAGGTTCTTGAGGGAAACAAGTAGAACTGTTAATACTCCACAGTCGCATTGTAGGATCTTTACAGACTTTTCTAAATACTTCTGTGGTGTTTCATTTGCATTTTCATGATTGTCAGTCTTTTGAAGTTTAAGTATTTCATGTCCCTGTGATAATTTTCTAATACAATTTGGAGGCCAGGGAACTCTTAATTCACACAGTGTGCAAAGTGCCATACTTTTCTCTGTGTACTTACAGCAGCATACCTAGGACTAAAACTGAACTCTTCCCTGGAGAATTCCAACTTTGTGTCTGTAATGCATGCTAATTTAATTGGCAGTAGTAGTGTGTTTGCACATGTATTCCCCTTGCTTTCTGGGACATGTCGATTGAAGAAAGGTCTTGTGCATGTGCAACTTCTATTCCGCACCTTCATATGCAAGACCTTTCCAGCTTAAAAACATTTAGAAAGCACTCAGAATTTTCCCTGAAAGTCTGCATTTTAGAAAATATTTGTTGACTGTTAAAAGGCTGCATGCTTCTGAAAGTCTTGTAGACTTGAAGCATGCTTACTAGATAAAGTGACATGACAGAATTTGTGCTGAGTTATAAGTAACATAATTCACACACCAGGAGATACATGAAAGTAAAGGTAACCAGCATGCCTTTTAGGTGATGTTTAAGCTATACCCCAAGAAATAGAATGCCATTTCTTTATGAAGTGTGTAATGTACGGTCATTCTTTCAACCAGAAATGTGAAAAAAGGCTTAATCCAAGAAGACTTCAAGATAACTTTGAAACAGGCAAGTGCAGTCTGAATTTTCATCCATTGTCATGTATTACAGGCTGAGGGCACCTGACTAATAGTGGTTGTGGGTTTTTCCTTGTATGCTATCCTACCAAATGCCAAATGTTATAAAGCTGTATTATTTTTAAGGCAGTGTGAGTTGTTGTGGGCTGGTTTAGGGTTTTTTGGTGGTTGTTTGGTTTAAGTTTAGTTAACTTTGTATGCTGTTTCATGTTGCTTTTGCAAGTCTTCTCCTAAATTATGAAGACTCAGATAAATCTGGTGGCTGAGTGAAAAGTAACTCAAAGCTGTTTTAGGAAAATAGCATCTGATTCAACATAATGCTGGTAATTGAGTGTTGGATCATGGCTTTCTGTCCCACTAGTAACTAGCTGCAGTTGGCATTGGACTACTCTGGAGAGTGCTCAGAAAATGGGGCCATAATTCTGTCCTCCTTATTAAGGAATAACTTGGAAAAATCAACACCTGTGGGCAAAGCTGTCTGTTAAAAGTGTCCCCAAATTGCTGTGACTTGGAAAATTTGTTCTAACCACTGGATGACTTATAAATATGGTTGAGATACCTTCTCCTGTTTATGAACAGACATAAAAATTTTATCATAAGTACTGAGTATACATTTGAGGTATGGCTTTGTATTGTTACTGATAGTTTTACTGATAACTATGTGTTTAATATTTGTTTCATGCTATCTTCTCTTTAAGCAGATGCAGCATATGAGATGTGTTGCTCCATTGAAGATCCACTGACAGAACAAGTGGACAGACAATCTGTGGCATGCAATGGCCATTACAAATTTGCTTTCTCATCAAGAGCTTTCTTGAGTTTCAAGTTTGACCATGATGCCATAATGAAAAGTTTTGACCTCTGACAGCACACTTATTAAGAACAAAAATCAGACTTGCCTGTTGCAATTGAGGTTTTTTTTTATCCAGCCTTACTCTTTCTCAGGATTTTTTTTGTTTTATTTTGTTTGGTTTTAAATGCAATGCAGGGACTGACTGGTGGTTTGGAAGGGTTTGTTCTCTTTGTAGTATGGGAGTGGCATAGTCAACTGTTGCACTTTAAATGCAGTATAGCCTTTGTCCACGGAAGTACCTTTCCAGTGTTCAGTTCACTTGTTCCTAGCTGTGCATTAAAGGGCATTCTTTTTTTTTTGTTGTTGTTATTAAACTTGCCAAGTCTTTTGTAGAATGTCACTGATTTTAATTTTTTTTAACTGTTAAGAGTATACCAGCTTGCGAAACTTCAACTGCTCTGATGTAAATTATTGGACCCATTAAGTCATTTTGTGTAGTACATTGCAATATTACAGCAGTGGCAATGAAACTACTTGATTCTCACAGGACTCCTTTGTCCTAGTGATTTTGAAACCAAGTTGCACATTTCAAACCTAGCCTCAGCCTGTCATCCTTTCTCTGTCCCAGTTGCTTGCCCAAAGTAACTTCTTTCCTGCACATGGATAGGTTCTGATGGGTGGCAATCAGTATTTGGAGCCAAATGTATAGCATGTTGACTTCTTCTACCTACTCTGCCTCTGTCTTAAGTAAAGATACATTCTTTACGTAAGGGAAGAATGGCAGAACTTAGCTGTTCAAAGTGTCTAGCTTCAACTCTTCTGCACTGTCCCCGGCTGGGTAAGAAGTTGTGAAATGTTGTTATCCCAGTTGCAGCCACTTTCAGGAAAGCAAAGCTTAAGCTTTGTCTGTGAGAGGTTACTTGTGTAGAGTTTATACTGAATGTAAATAAGCCTCTGTACATCTCGCTGAGGAGGAAGGGAGGTGCATGGATAATAGAGTCATTGTGTGACACTAAATGGCTTAATCAGGCTTGCAGTAACTATTGTAAGGGTGTCCAATATTGTATTCTATGCTGTTGTCCTCAGTTCTCTTGTGTAGTGTATGCTCTGTATATATCCAGTAGTATTGAATTGCACTGGCAGTTAGCATTTGAATGATGTAGCCTCAGTTATTTTCAGCTACAAAGCTCTCTTTGTTAAAAATATTAAAGACTGGGGGGAGGAGAATGACACCTCAGAATTGCGGTGACAAATGGTTAAATCGCCTTCGTGATCCAAGTTAAGGGGTTCTGAACATGTGCTTTGCAGTTGAGAGAAATGCACTGAAATAATCTGTCACTGCAGCTTGTGGTAGCAAGCATGTTGTCCTGGATTTAAAAATGGACTTTTCTCTAAAATAACCTTGAGTAATTAGTAACTTCATAGGTTGAATGAACTACACCCTTATCACAGTGTATCGCTCATGCACTGTGTCTTTATGCAATTTGTGTCATCAAAAAAAAATAAATCCTGGTCTTCCTTCAACCACCCTACTTCATCTACCGTACCTAATCTGTTAACTAGTGCTTTTCCTCAGAAATAGCTTTAGAACTGTCTCCTGGTTTATTTACTTGCCTGGCACCAGGTGGTTTGGGACTCTTAATACTGTAATAATCTTGGTGGTAGGAATGCTGGACTTCTGTATCAGGCAACAGGAGAAACAGACTGCAGCATTTCCTCCTTCTGGCAGACAAGAGTCCTGAGGGCCTTGTCTTTCAAGACCAAATGGTGAAATAGCTCAATCTAGCTTTGTCTCACTTTGTAACAAAAAAAAATATAAATTCCAAAGGCTGTTTAAAACAGTAAATGGCATAAGGCAGTAATTGAGAAGGTGGGATAATGCTGGAAGAGGTTTCAGCTTCAGGTGAAGACTAATCTTTAGTTACTTCTTCAGTGCAAGTAGTTGATTTCCCAGCAAAAGTGCCTTTACTCATGGTGAGGCAGAAGTTTATATTCATATCCTTAAGCTGCTACTGCCTGTGGAGTTAATAGGACTCTCCTAAGGCATGATTAAATATCAGGCTGTGGAAATCTTTAATAAATAAGTTGACATTTCAGATAAATTAGTTACTTTTCATCTAGTGTTCTGTAAATAAAGGGGATGCTAATGAAACAGTGAATTTGGAGTTTCTGTCAACTGTTTGGGAAATCAGGTCCCAGACAAAATCTGTTGAATGAAGCAAGTGTGTCCTATAAAAAGGAAATGCTGCCTGCCCTCTATATTCACTGGGTCGTATTTTTTTTTTCTTAGTGAAAGATTGGTTCAGTATAAGAGAAATTGGTTGCTTCATGAAGCAATCCAAAGCGGGATTTATACATGTCATGATTTTAGTAAATCTAGCCTTAATGTGAGTTGCAAATAAATGTGATAAATATGCAATAAATTTTACTTTTTTTGTATAAGGGTACTCTTTCTTGTTGTAGCATTGCTTTCTGCTTTCTCAGTAAGATTTTTAATAAGTGTGGTGGCATCTGATCTAACTTATGGGTTCCATTATGCCCTGCACTGTGAACTTTTTAAATTGTTTACTATTGTTCATGTTGTTTTTATTTCGCCATCCTTTTATAATTACTTCTGAGTTCAGGAGTACAGTTTACATTATCCTCTGGAAAACAGTGAAGAAATAACAACTGAGATACAGAATTTAGTTCTTTGAGGTTTTATTTTATGGGAACTAGACACAGAGAAACAACTGTGTGCATGTCAAACTGGAGAGTTGATATCAAGATACTTGAAAAACAAATATTTCTCAATTTAGAAATGCTTGCCTGTATGGGATTATTGAGATTATAAATGATCACACAATATTCCTGAAATTAAAGAATTTGTGGAATAAACAAACATTTAACAAAAAAACTACAAATGTGTGGGTGCTGGGAATTTAGTTAGTACTACATAAGCTACCTGCTTTACTGTGAGATTTTTAGCACTGTCCTTAACAGAACAATTTGATCTCTGAACTCAGACTGAAGAGTCATCTGCCTGATGGAATGATGTACGTTCTGTGCTGAAATGCTGTTAACTTCCACTGTCTGACCAGCTGACATGCATGCTTTTGAACGTAGCTGTGTCTTACACAGTTTGAAGTCTGGAAACAGTGGTACTGGAAAAAAAAAAGGGCAATAGCTTTATTTATTACACAAAACATTTTTTTAATACAAATGTAAATTGTTTAGACCAAACCTGCATAAATAGGCTCAAGTAAGATTTTGGGTCTAGTCACAGTTCCAGACTTCTCTGCTGTGCTCCAACTTTCCTAATTAGGTGTTTTGAGAACACTGCTTGCTGTGTTTTTCCTTCACCTACCTGTGGCTGTTATTAACAATTCCTTTTAAAAACAAAGCAGGCTCCAGGTCTGGATATTCTTAATAGACTTGTTCTTGCATTGTCATTTTAGAGTAAGAAATTATTTTTTTTCAACTTTTGCTTACTGTAGTAGAGTTGCTTTTTTGGATTTGCAGTTCATAGCAGCACTCCTGTCATTTGGTGTGAAGAGTAAGAATCTACACTAAGAATCCAAGCCCTAATGTCCTGTGATACAAGACAGCACTGCTGCTCCATGGGTGACTGGCTTTCTAGTTGTTTGGGCTGTTTAATCCTCACCTGCCTGGACTTCTTTAAAAATTCTGAGCAACAGAATTTTTTTCAGAGGTGAAGTCAGGTGCTTTAATCATTTAAACCAGGAGATTATATTCTAAATGTGTTAGCTCAAAATTATTGAGAACGGGTAGAATAGCCTCTCCTGTGGATTTTGAAATCAGTTTATTTACAGAAATTGAGTCTTGCACTGTAAACGTTAAATCATCTGGTGCTTCTACATGACTTCATAATTTCAGATTGTTTTTGTTAATACTGTATTTTGGCTTTTGAAGCAACCAAAATTATTTAAGATAGGGTACATTTCTACAAACTAACTGAAGGTGCTTTTTCAGTAGATCTGGCTTGGAAATATCACTGCTCTTGCACAATAGGTTTTTGTTCTTACACATTTACAGCAATAGTGTAGTTTTGAGAAAGAAAGTAGGCTAAATGCTAGTGTTTGCACTGTTTTTAATCCTGTACATAAGCACTGATAGATGCAGTAGGATTTGTGCTGTGTGTGAATTTCACTGTTTTAACTAAATTGTACAAGGAAGGTATCACATGTAGCAATTTCACTGCCTGTACTCAAGATTGTACAACAGGAAGTATTCTGGATTAGTGGTACTACATTAAAATTAAATACTTGGGTTTTAACTTGTTTTTTTTTGTTGAAAATTTTAGGTTAAGCTAGACTTAAAGTTTTGTATAGATTCAGTTTTACAGAAACCCTAATCTTTAGATTGTTCTCAGTGCTGGAATACTTCTGGGAAGGAAGGAAGTGTTTTCAGTTCCTCCTTCAGTACTTGCAGGAAAAAAAAAGCTTGTTTTAAGTAATTATCAACATTTCACAGGGTACAGAATGTTTGAATTTGAATAGGTCCACTATGAAATTTACTGACAACACCACTGAGTATTTTGTCACTGTTAAGCCTTTATATTGTTCTCAGAGCAGCCAGCTTCTCATTTCCATTACAGTTCTGTGCCTTTAAGAAAATGATCACAGCATATGGAGCGTGAATAATTTTAAAACAGGGCATCTATAGTTTTTTAAGATAGATCCTGCAAACCCAGTTCTCTGACTCACTTCCCACAGTGAGAAAAACTTACTGTGCAAATTTTTTTCAGCATGCTTGAACAAAATTACTAAATTAACTATATGAACCATTTATATATTACTGGTTGGCTACATACTCTTGTTATGCAGGAAAAGTATACAAAACTGCAGTATTAAGAGCTCTCGGCAAATACTTCTTGTCTATACTTAAAACAGAATCCTTAAGTAACTATACTATGTCTGCATGGCACTGCAGTATGTGGAAGCTGCGCTTCAGTCCTGAGGAGCAGTTTAGCTGGGTTTGCAAGGCAGTTTAACATTAAAAAGCAAAAGAGACTCCACAGAAGGTGGGGTTTTGTTCATGAATTTTGGCATGCTAGACTGCTGTATGCATTCCAGGGCCTAGGCTGGCTCAGGTATTGCTGCCCAAAGATACCACTGTTCTGTGCCGCACTGCATGCCTCACAGAAAACAGGGAGCTGATTTTACATTACATGGCTTATGTATGAAGGGTTATGTCTTCCTCTTGTTTGTTTAAAGTTCAAGAACTTGATCTATTTTCCTCACTGGTATGTAGTGGCATATCAATGCTAATTAAGTAGAAAGTATGTACAGCTAATAGGGTTAAAACCATGTAAAGTTACAGATTTTACACATTTTCCATTATGTTATCTTGAAGAAAGTGGGTAACTCAACTCTTCAATTTTAGTAAATAAAATCTGTAACTATCTATAATATCTGTACTAAATGCTGTACTAAAGATTGTGATTGTTATTCACTGATTCAGAAACTGAAGCATACTATTTAAGAGACTATGACTAAATTGACATTTTCTTCTATACTGTTATTTTTCTCAAAATTAAATTACTTTATGTATAAACTGACTGAAGTACTGAAGTATGAATATAAACATTGATCAGTGTGAAATACAAAGCCTGTGCTGGTGGTACAGGTTATTCTTTCACTGCAGAGTGTTTAAATGTTGCTTTAAGGCAGTCAGCAGCACTGATTACACACAATGCCAGGAAAAGAAGTATTTTTTAAAGTCAATTTTAAAGGTGCACAAGGGGCCCACCAAACACAAATGAAAGAAAAAAGAATGTTTTGGAGGTACTGGAGAAAAGAAGCACGTGAACTTCATTCAATGCTTTTAAAGTATTTATGAAACAGCAATTTTTTTTTTTCTTTGTCTATATAACCTGTTATTCAATGAACTGGATGCATGGAAATGGTTTCATAGATGCCTTTCCATTTTTATAAAGTGTTCATTGAAGCTGTAGTGGGTTTGTAGCAAGTACTAATGTTCTTGAGCTCAGGTAAAACCTATGATCAAATCTTTGGTGAGTTCTTGACAACTTTTCATGTCCCTAGTATGGGAACTTTCCTGATGGTGTCATACCACTTACCTCAACAACATATTGTAGAGAAAGGCACTATAGTACCTTTAGGTAAACCCATTCATCTGTAAGATGACAAGGTATGTTAAAGCAACCCCCAAGGCAAAGAAACAGCATTAGAAATTTATTCAGAATATAAGAACATTTGTAAAATAAGTAGTATAAATGGCTCTGTATAAATAAATGCAGTTTTTACAATTCTACATCAAATAAACATAAAACAGTTATTTTACAGCAGCTAGGAAACTAAAAAGCAGGAACTCATTTAAAGCTAATTCAGTAAGGTGAAGTGTTTCTAGAATTACCATGTTATGGTACAGTATTAAAGAAGGAGAAAATACAAATAAAACCAGTAGAACAATATTGACATTAATACAAACTTAGTAACATGTGCTTTGCAATAGCTAACAGTACATTCAAGCTGGTGAAGACTTACACAGTTAATTAGGAAAAAAGTATTTTTTTCTGAACACACTGTGAAATACAAAATCTCATGCACCTTGGTGACTTAGAAAATTAAATAATACACCCTAAGATAATTAATGAGTGAACAACTTAGGTTCTGTTGGCAAGAAGCATCTATTTTTCTTGCTTTGCAAATATATTACTTATGCAACAAGTGTTAAGTGGGTTGCTGTAACTCAAGGCGATTTGCACTCTTGGGTATGTAGATAGGCTGGTGTTTGTTTCAAGCAGCTGCATAAAAGGGGTTAGGTTTTTGGCATGTATTCTCAGGGTTAGTGCCATTGTTAACAGGTATACTGGAATTGCAGCTGATTGTTAATAACAGTTTTCACGGTAACAGTAAACCTTTTACCACTTCCCTGTTGACCTTTTCCAGTATGCAAGCAAATGAAGTAGAAGCTGCTTGCTTAGGCAAAATACCTGGTTGGTCTGGCAAACCATAGCTACTGCTGAGGCTGTAGAGTATCAATCAGCCTCGCTTTTTCATACAGAAACATTATGGGAGGAAGAGGCAGTGGTTTACATTTACTGGTGATTTATAATTTATTCTAAAACAGTTTCAGAGCATAGCTGGCAGGGAAGACGGTCAGTAAATGTAGTAAAACAATGTTCAGTTGATGCAAAATCAGCAAATTGTTAGGCCTGAAAAAGGCACCAAGGGATACTGCAGCCTTTTAAAGCCTTTAAAGCTAGATGAATATTTATACTTTCTTAATTTGTATATTTCCTTTAAAGACATGGTGCAATTCAAATGCTTTAAGCTTCATGTTATTAATAGCTTCCCTAGCTACAGAGAAATAGAAAAAATTGAGCCTAAGGGCAAATGCAGTGCAACAGTGGTTTCTAGTCACCTTAAGTGAAAGGTATTTCGCGCAGATAGTCTGAGATGACCTCAAGTTAACATGGATGTTTCAGATGCAAGAATACAAAACTGCAGCTGCATTTTTGCTACTGTACAAAGGAGGTAAGTCTTTCTGTTTCTTCAGAAACAAGTATGATCAGCTACCATTGAAGCTTTTGGCAAAACCCTATATTCCTGTTGGTGAAAAACTTGCTGGCCAAAAAAGGGTAACACCATAGACAGATGCTTAGGAAAACCATAGAGACAGTAAGAAATCAGTGTGCTTGCTCCCTCACCAGCTGGGTCTGCAAAGATTTCAATTTGCATTTTAAATTAGGAAGTTAGAGAAAGAAGACTGATCACAACCAGTCCCAGGGCACTGCTACCTACAATGTAATTTTGAAATCAGTATTGTCTTAACTTGCTGTAGCAATCAGTCATGTATGATGTTGGCTTTGTAGCAGATACATCAAGATTCTAGAGAAGCAGGGATTGCTACCCTAAGAAGAAAAAAGCAGCTACAGTAATAAGAGATGTGACAAACACCAACAGCTACAGTTTCAGAGGCAACCAACACTTAACAATAACACCATATTCTGAATGCAAATTCGCACAACTATTTTGGCTGCCTGGCCAAACCCAAGAGTACACAAAACCAAGTCCTCTAAAAATACTTCCTTAGTAAGAAATACTTTGTAGTAAGAAATTAAATGAATAAATGAAAGAAGTTACTGTAACTCTAAATACACTAATAAAATTCATGTGCAACTCAACATATAAAGCAAAAAGGATAAACAAATCCTGAAATCAGATTCACTTGAAAACAGAGCCTGAAAAAATGAAGTAGAGGTATAACAAAGTAGCAGGCTTTGTTGAATGGACTCTAGTTTGGCATGTTAAATCAAATGTGGAAACTGTTTTATGTACTCAGGTCAAAAAGAAGCAAATTCTGAATGAAACTGGTGCCTCTGTATTTTACTCTGTAGAGAAATCTATCTGATCTACTTTGCTTGATGTTCATTACCATCACAGGCCAAAATTTTCAGTTCAGGCAGTTTGATAATACAGTAATGTGACTTAAAACAATCAGCAGTAACAAAAACTAACCTAAGAAGCTGTATGAAGACTTCACCATTCACATTCTATTTGTGTCTGTATATCCATACACCTACACATTTATAGTTTTGCGCCTATGTATTCAAAATTAAACGGGTACATAACAGGTACCTTTTAATAAGCACTATACATGTGACAAAAATGGCACAACTTCTTAAGGAAAACCTTGACTATAATGTAATAGCAAGAAACCCCCAACTGTCTCTCAGAGTAATTGCAAACATAATGCACTATAAACACCAGATTCCCTATAATTTCAACTATTGTGTTGTGTGCAGAGGGAGCACAGGGATTGTGAAAACTCAAATTACCTCCAAACTGCCCAAATTGAAAACTCTGTTAAGAATTACTGTGTGACAGTGTCACCCATGGGACATTTAAAATGGAAGAGAAGCTGTAAGAATACAGACATAATGACACAGACAACATATATAATTATAGCATGATAATTCAGGCACTGCCATTTTACATTGCAAAACAGTCCTTAAGGTTAACACATTATCCCCATAACACCTCTCTGGGATCCCAGAGCAGGTTCTTACTGTGTCAGCATTGAGAGTCAGGGCTTTCAGCATTTCAAGCTACCTAAGTCAGCCTCCAAATGAAACAAATTTGTAATGGCACTAAGCATCTTTGAAGGAGATGCATTTAAAGTGAAGTTTCATTGGTGTGTGGTCTAGAATTCTCTTCTTCTAGTAAAGCTATTCTTTGTTTGAGCATTCTTACTTGTGTTTCATGTCTCTCCACCATGGCCATCATTTGTGATTCCAATTTCTTCAGCTTATTCTGATGCTTTTTCTTTGCTTTTTCATAAGCTCCTACCAAGTTGCTGTTAGAAATACAAGGCAATACAAGATCATTCAAAAATGGTTGTTCATAGCAAATGCCACAAAAATCTACCCCAAAACACCACTTTCAGGAAATTCCAAAGTTTGGATACTGATCATCTTCCTAAGATTTACTAGTTCTTTAAAATGCATGAGATCCAAACTTTGGTCCAAATCCAGATGAGTGCTAATCACTGACAAGGTGTGTACTGGCCCCCAAAAGATAGAGAAAATAAACTGGTTACTGAAAGCAGTTTTTAACAGAGATCAAAGAGCGAGCCAACTAGAGGCTGCTGGTGATGACTTCCCAGAGTGCGCACAGCGTCAGGACACACAGAATGGCATCTTGTGCTAATCTGTCAACTGCTAAGTATCTTCTGTGCCTCCACTTTGACTCATCAGGAAAGCTGGAGATGGGTACTGCTCCTCACCACATGGGCTTTAAGTATGATTTATTAATGAAAACTGCATTGCGAACAAATAGGTTTCTTGCAGGAAGGGCAGCTACACTTCATCACATTCTCAGTATATTCAAACACAGTCCCAGTAAAAACTACTGAGTGAGCAATAAAATTTAAGTGTGATTATCAAAGCCAGTTTATTAATAAAGAGACTGGAGCCAAAGAAAAGGGAGCAATTTTAACCAAAATAAGAGATTCATAATCTGAATAAATGGAGTTTTTTGTTTAATAAAATACATTTACTGGTACCTCAGTTAAGATTAAACTATTTATTTCTGTTCCTCTGTTCTTAGCTATGTACTTTTCAGCATCTTACATGGGAGGCTTATACTTCCTGCATCTCTAACTATAACCTTAAAGAGTCAACATGGGTGAAGACAAGGATCCAGAAACTGCTCATTAAAGTAGAGGAGGATTACAGTGCAGAGCATGGCCAAAAAAAAAAAAAATAAATAAAATCAATGGCACATCCACCTGCTGGTAGATCTTTTACCTGTTTGCCCGTTTAAGGTCATTAACAAATTCTGCGGACTGCTGATGTCTGATTTCACTGCTCTTGGTGAGTCTCTCCAAAGCACTCACTAACTCTTGCACTCTAGCCTTCAGTTTCTTCTCCCTGGGTAAGGGTAAAAGGAGGAAGAAAACTATTTTCAAAACAGAAATAACACTTCAGCTTGCAAGTACATGAATGGTTGTCCTGTGCTGGGTTGACAGGCTGAAAATATGTTCCTTTCTACTACTTGGATAAAACAGGAGGTAGTTCTAATATTAAACTTTTCCACAGGTTGATTTTTCTAACATTCACCATTTTAGAATATGGGATCAGAGGTGCAGAGAAAACAAACTTATCTGATGAATTATGGTCTTGTATGTATCAAATTACAGTAACCACAAAGATACATAAAAATAATACTTTAGAATACCTACTGTGTCTTGAATGAGACAGCGAACTACCAAAGGAAAATAAACCGTCATGTCTAGCACATAGGAATTTTAATTAAAAGTAACACAACAGGATTGTTATCTAGGTCAAGTTGCTCTATCCAACCTGACCTTGAACATTCCAGGGATGGAGTAGCCACAAATTCTCTGAGCAACTTGTACCAGTGTCTCACCACCCCCAGAGAAATTTCTTTTTTTCAGTTACTGCCTCAAATTTACACAAGTAATTTATACTACAGTCTGTATTACAGTAGATCACTAGGCTTCTTTTAGGAGCCAGCAAGTTCAGTCTATGTGGCAGCAGGAAACAGAGAAAGTTAAGAACAAGAGAGGGGAGTACTGACAGAAAAACACAAATACAAGAAATGCAGAAGACTACAGAGCACAGGCAGTTTCTTCTATGAGCTACACTCTTTTTCTTTCAAATGAGCCACAATATTGAAGTTTCAGATGTCAATATAATTACCAATACTTACTTATCAATTATGAACCAATAACTAATTACCTGAAGTGTGCCAAAATGGAAGTAAGGTGCACATTACAAATGCCTCTATGAAGGAAAGAAAAAGTGAAGGCGGCAGACATTCTGCAGAGGAGCAAGTGTTACAGCTTAGGGTTTAAGCTGGCTTCACAAGGCATTTCCCAGCACAAGCATGCATATGGCATTGAGGCTGGTGCTTCTTCTCTGGGAGCTCCCTGCAGCACAGCTGATGACTGCCCACAGCCTGCTCATACGCAGACACGAGACTCTCCCACCTCTTGTGCAAGGGTGTTGATGTGGAGATCCAGAAGCCTTTCTCTGTGACCCATCCTCGTAGCACAGACATCCCAGAGAGAAAAACATCAGATTTGAAAATTTTAAACAGGGTGCTAAGAATGACATATAGCTGGGCTAAAGTGGGACAAAGTTACATTTAGATTTAGTTAGATTTTAGTGTTGAACCTTACACTGGGGAACTCTGGAGACATTTGTCAGTGTTTTCCAGCTTAGAACCTCTTTGCAGTGATCTGCCTTCCCCTCCTGTTTTGGTTGCAGCGCTGCAAAGTGGGTAAATTTGACTTAATTTCAGTAACAAGACTATTACTAGCTTCCACATAAAGCCACTGAGCCCCATAGGAATGAATACCCTACAGTGTGGGAATACTGAATGAATACCCCCTAGCTCTGCGCCGATGCCCCTCGAAATCCAGCTCACCAGCCTGTAGTTTCGACGCTGGCCTGGCAACGGCAGCATTTTACAACCAGAGACTAGGGCAGCACACGTGGAAAGTTTCACTGTGCAAAGCTTCAGCAACAGAAGGGCTTTCACAGTCAGCCATGGAAATATTCCAAGTTAGCAATTTATCCCAGCACGCTGCAGATGCTGGTTTACTGACCAAAGAAAGAAGGACATAAGAGGACCCTTGTTTGATGAAAAAATCATCAGTATTCTTTATGCATCCTTTCACCAAAGGAGTGTATCTCAGTTTTCAAATTACACAATGTTTTCCCTAGTGTTTTAAAGCTCATTGCCATCCACCCCAAATAAAAGTTTTATTTTTATACCCTATCGTAGCAATCAGAAAGACACAGCACAGTCTACAGTCAAAATCTGTGTTCTGCAAAGAAAACAGAAACCAAAAAAAAAAAAAAAAAAAAAAAGAATAATCCAGTTTTTACTTGCTAAATATAAGATGCGTAAGATTAAGAAAAGCTCAGACCTGGCAGAAACCAGACTCATTACCTAATGTGTGTATGGCACTACTGGTATGACAGAACACTGTAGGGTAAATCTAGTCCTTGTCTGCTCTCAAAGGATACCACAGCCAGAGAGGCTCTGGGCAAGGCTCAGCAGCACTGTGCCCAGCACTGTGACCTAAGCCTGAAGAAGTCCAGCATTCACAGTATTTCGATGGGAGGAAAAAAACTAAAAATCACAAGAGGCTGTTGATTTGAGGCTGATTTAGCATCATGTGCAAGAAAAGGTATAGCTGTGAAAACACTGCACCCAGTCAACATGGGAAAAAGAACCTTGCAGAGACACAGTTTACTGCAGCTGGAGCGCTTAACATACTTTCTGTAACAAAAGCTGTGTGGAAAAAAAAAAAAACAAGTGAAAAGACCTGGAGGAATGTGTGATAGAAGTTTAGTTGTCACAGTCACCATTACTTGATAATATTACAGCACCTGACTAATACAGCACCTTTCATCTGTTTTTGCACTCACACCTTTCAATCTGTCATGTTCAGCCCAAACTCCACTAAATATCAGAAGCATTTCTTTACATCGGGCCTGTAAGGTCTTGCTACTTGGCAAAGATACAGGGCCTGAGGAGAGGTAAGTACCCTGGGCCTCCGCAGGCTAGTTAACAGTGGGTAATCCTTCACATCTACAGATGTCTCAAATTTACATTTATAGCAGTAAAACACATACATTGCCTGAGCTGACAAGATCCACACAATTTTTTTGGCTTTTCCTGATGTCTTTAAGTCAGTGAAAACAGTGCTAGCTAGGGCCTAACTCCCACCTTCATCTCAGGGAAACCTGGTAGCACGTGCTGAAATTCCCAAAATCTTATTAAAACAACACATAGGGATCTACTTTTACACTTACTGTTTCTTTACATCTAAGTATCTTTAGATATTTAGCCACAGGAAATGTCTCATTTTGGTCTGGGAAATGGAGATGCATATTTGGTTAAAGACTATCACATGCTGCAAAAAACATGTAAGGCTTTCTCTGAAGTGTGGCACTATTTATTCTAGTAGTAGATGAGAGGCCTCAGAGCTGTACCTTACTTACCTTGACCAGAAAATGCTCTATCCCTTCATAAAAATCCCATGCCTTATAATGCTAAACCTTTTCACTTCTCTCCATTTCCATCACTAATTACCTCAGTTTGGACAGTAAGAAATGTCCTTATTTGTGTCTCTTCAAAACTGATTGCTTAGTTGGGCAGTAAACAGGAGTAATAATGAATCCTGAGGTGCTATTTGGATTCCTTTAATGCATTACAGGGTTAGCTGTCTTTACAGGATTTCTAGCATCACTTCATTTCCTCCGTTGCTTTTGTAAATCAGCAGGATATGAAGAATCAGGCTTAATAAACAGAATATTTTAAAACAATAGTCCTAGTAATATGTAGCATTTTTCCTAAATGAGAATGTGTCAAAGCTGCAAACCAGGGATGGAACTGCATTTGACACAATGGCCATATGAACATCTTCCTGACACAGATGCCATATGGGTCTGGGAAGGCCTTCTGCTGCCAGACCATGTTCCAGAGCCTGAAGAGCAAACGTGCACAGAATTCACACTGCTGTCATGCCCCAGGGCTGTAATACGGACCAGTATGATCCTGAGAAAGCATTTATGTTTGTATTTTGATGTGAAGAGGGAAGGAAAAGCAAGCATTTTTACCAGAACACAATTTCTGTGAGTCCACAAATCAATCTGACTGCAGAAGTCAGCACAGATTTTGCTTCCAACATTTCCTTTTCAACTGGGTACTGCTACTGGAGCTGTGGAGAGCCACGGCAGCACCTCATTCACACAGAGAAAATGAGCACGTATTCCCAGAAAAGGGAAGAAGCTTATGATCTGAGGGCATGGCTTGCTTCCAACACAAGGGTTCTCTGTTCTTGGGGCACTTGGGAAGCCTGCTGGGGAAATACTCAACTGCTCCCTTTCCAAGAAAATGCAGAGAACAGGCCTACAGCCTACTCCAACATCTTCTAAAAACACTGTTTTCAATGAAATGCCTAAAGTGCTGGTAACAAAGACTTTTGTTTTGTATTCGCACAATCAAAACACTAAGTGGGCAATTGCTAATGGGTTTTCAAGGGCTTTTTGTTTCAGACTTACAGGATGGTTTGCACTGAAAGGCAAACAGACAGGGCGTGGCATCTCTGGTTTCAAGGCTACTGTAGAGAGCAGGGAATTCTGCCAGAGCTGTAAAGGAAACTACCATCAGGCACATTTCTGCAGTTTCTGTCAATTTGGCCTCCACGCAATGACACCATGTTTGGCCCAGAATAATGTAAGCAAGGTCTTGCGTACTTTATATTTTCTCTCCTGCCTGGGCTTTTCCAGACACATTCAGGTTTCATGTGCCAAAGCCTTCCCAGGCAGATTTTCCTGTCCTTGCTCATTCCACGAGATCTCCCCAGTGCTGAGAAAGGAAGCTGCACTTCCCTGGCACACAGAAAGTGAATTTTTCTGCCCCTGGCTTGAAACGTACCTAGCTGTTGCCCCTCTGCCCTGGGCTCAAGAACAACCATAGCTCTTGGTGAATCTGGAGTAAAAGAGGAGTAATGAGCTTTCTCCAGAGCAGGAGGCAAAAAAATTTCCCACAGCTTGGCAGAGGAGTCAGGGGTCTTTGGGGACTATCCTACACCTTGCCATCCCTAGAAGCGTCCATTTACTCATCAGGAAGCATTGCCTGCTACAAGGAAACCTCCCCAAATTCTGGCTCCCCTGTCAGAGTGGCTTCAGCTCAGCATCTGCCCCTGAGCTTCACAGACACAAAGCCCTGGCGCAGCAACAGGGCAGCCAGCTTGAAGAGACTGAGGACTCAGTGTTCCTGGGCACAGGTACCCAGGAAGGCAGGCCAGTGCCCCAGCATATGGGGTGTGGGGAGAGGAAGGAGAAGCAGCATCTCTAGCCATGTCCCCTAGCTTTCTGCATGGTCCCTGCTTTGAAGAAGAGGCACACACCTTCCATCCCACGCTTTGCTCCTAGTCCCTTCCCTGTTATGCTCTTGTTGTTTTAAACCTGGCATGTTCTCCCACTCCCATCTCTTCTTTTTCCAGTTCCAGCTGAACAGGGTGACACATGATTTGTTTTTTCTAGGCATTTGACTCCTCTCAGAAAATAACAGCTGGACAGTTAGAAGGAATTCAGGTACATCAGTCTGAGCTAACATCTTACTTCAGGCTGGCGTGCAGAATCTCCAAGACTATTTGAATGCATGCCTGCCTCACTAGTGCAGCTTGGCCTGCTACAGAAAACAACTGGTATTTAACCGAACTTTTTATAAGAGAGAACAAAACAACACTGCAAATGCCAAGAATCTTAAAATCATCCTCTTCAAATTTCCCTGCCTCTCCTTGTCAGCGGTCGCCTTGAGATCACCTGTGCTTCCTGCTGCCTGTGCAAAGGTAGCCTTTTCTGACCACAGAGAATATGGAGAGGGCTTTAAAAAAATGCCTTGCTGGTGTAATGTACTGCTTTTTTGCTGACTGTCAAATGCTTAGAGCAGATCTAAAAGAAACCAGAAGGTACCACAGACATGCAGCATGCAGACAGGCCAGGTACAGTCCTGGAAACAACAGACTGGCAGCAAAAAGGAAGAAGCCTGGAGGAAGGCAGCAGTGTGCCTGCATCTTTCACTGCTCAAACCTCCCACCAGCTTTGCCAGCCCAGCCTGAAAGCTCTCTTGACCTGCAGCTATTTGGAGCTCCTTGTGATGACTATATCCAAGTGCACAGCAGCTCAGTGGTGCAAAAAAATACGCTGCAGTAAGGAGAACTATTTATTCCATGTAAAAAATGTAGAAAAAGAAAAATGGTTATCCTTGATGCTTGTAAAAAAAAAAAAAAAAAAATAGCTACCCAAGGCACTTCTGAGGAATCTGTCCCTTACATCACTGTAAGTCATTTCTTTTCTTGCAAGATGGTTTCCCTCAGTGGGCCTCTCCAGGGGAATTTCCAGAGACAGTCCATGCCTCCTGAACACCTCAGGCAGCCAAGTGAAACCACAGCAGGAGACTGCAATGTCATGAAAAACAGAGATCCCTGAAATTTGCCGTGACTGTAGTCCATGCCTGTCTGGCGTTCAAATGTCTCCAAGTTGCTTATTTCCTCATTTAATGGATGTGATAATAAGAGAACAGAGATAAGCAAATGTAACTGACAAAAAGCAGGTGATGATGCACTGAAAACACTCATCAGTAGCTCCTGTATACCAACCCCACCTCTCTCTTCTCACGTTGATCCACTGCATGATCATTCTGTACTCTGGGCAAACAGAAAAAGGATTTTAATGATTCAATTCTTAAGAGCCATTTTGTATCTGAGTCATGTATTTTTGGCATTTCCCTTTCCATTTCCAAGACTTAGCCTTACTGATGGTCAAGATATGCCTGAATTTGAGAGATGTTTCTACTTGCTCCTGGATCCTGTTATCATGAAACTAAGGGTGGCCCTCAAAATTTGCCAAGCTAAGATATCACCACATGAAGTCCATGGAAGTTTAAAATAAAGGAAGGTGGCTTATTTATCTCTGGGTGACACTGTGTCACGCGGAAACAGTCACTGCCATGCCCTGGCACATCCTTCTGTTGAAACTGTTGCTCTCTCAAAACAAGGAGTTTGGTGCAACACAGGGTTGAGGTCCTTACCTAGGAGTCATTGTCAGATCCCTCCTGCCCAAATATTTTAATGCTTACAGAGGACTCTCTAAATACATGCACAAAATACAATCCTATGCAGATAGAAAACCTATCAGCAACAAATAAAAGGAGAGACTGCAAGGAGGACCTCAGCAATCAAAACATTTCTAATAAGGCCCAGGGAGAAGGAAAAGTTTCAGACTTGCCAGCTTGGCCATTTTTCACAGAATGGAAGAAATTAGCAGGAAAAAAAAAAAAAAGGTTAGTTCTATCACCATCACTGCCACCCTGCTAAAAGCAAAAATGTTTCCTATGTAGAATTCTTACTGTCACCATCCTGCCATCTCTAATGCATCTATAACCAAGCATGTGCTTACTAAGTTACAAACTCATATAAGCAACATACAGTGCTCCCTTCCCCTGCCACAGCTAGAACATACTAGCAAGAAAAATGTCATTTTAAGTTCTTCTTCAGACTATGTAATGTGCCTGATTTTGCGGGAGTCAACCAGATCCCCTCTCGCAACACCAGCCTCTCGCATAGTCATCGAAGCGGCAGGGCCAGGCTATGAGGCTGCTGGGAATACATTTTTGCACTCCCACTAATAAAGTACTTCCTGCCAACATCTTTGTTTATGGATGTGTCAGACTCAAAAATCTTCATGTCCACTGAAATATTCCACCATTCCACTAAGAAAGGAAGTGAAAACAAAACTGCTGAAGACTCTGGCATAAAGTATTTATGCTTGGCTGGAATAGAATGTGCCTCTAAATTAATAACCTTAGCCTGCAATACCAGAAATGTGGTCACCTAGATGTAACTTTTACAACATTAAACTCACAGACAATTTACATTTCTACTAGTTAGCATAGGGGTGACAGAAAAGAAAAGCTATTTCTGTGGGAAGCCTGTAAGATGGGTTTTAATGCTGAACACTGCTACAGGAAACCCTGTGAAAAATACCCTGTCCACACATCTCACAGAAACCGTGCTTAAGCCCCCTGGTAGTAGCAATCACATTTAGCACAGTTGTATTTCCATTACATAGAAAGTCTTTACTCCAAAATTTATGTACAGTTTAATCCAATTATTTTCTTCCCCATTTATGCCTGACAATCTGTACTTGCTAGGCCCCTGGCTGGAAATCCAGCTAATCAACTTAAGGGCTAGTAGATAAACCAAAGTTGTCTGTGTTGTCAGCAAACTAAATTTCATGACTATACTCAAGCCTCTGGTAATTAAGGTCACTGGCATCTTCTCGAAATCCAGGGGCAAATAACAAGAACAGGAAAAGGTGCAGCTTGAGTGAAGGCAGAAAGTGCCAGTGGAGATGCTCACAGATTCTATATTCCACTCACTGGGACTGGAGTGTGAGGAATATGGAATCTATGGCTCTATGCAATATTTATATAAATTACATTGTTGATGGGTTTTATCTGCCCACACACACATGATAGTTTTGATTATTTTAACCACAGAATTTTGTTTCCTGCATCAAGCAAACAACGCTCTGTAACTGCCAGACTATTAAGCAAGTGGTATGAGATGTATTGATTTTACAGTGGTAATGATCTTACATTTCTCCATAATGCCTTTTAGGCTTAAGTGTCCTTAGGCACATTAAGAGTTGCACCTATGAAAAAAGCACTTCAGGAATGAATCACCACAGCTGCTTAAGAGGTCATTCCACCATTAAAGAATGTGCAAACGCCAAAAAGCCAAAAGACACTCTCTCCAGCCAAAATTCTTAGCAGCATTTTGGACAGGCTCTAAATACAGTAATAACTAGATCAGATATTAAATAGCCATGCCCTGGGAAAGGTGGAACAAGTACTAAAAAACCTACTGAAACAGTGAATATTTTTGTCATGAAGTTTACCACATAGCTGGTGCAGCAAAAAGAGCTGTACAAGCAAGTATGACGTTAATGTATAACTGTACTGAAAGCTTTGGCTTAAAACCTGGCTGTTGACAAAAGCAGTTCGTCAAGACACCAATTTTCTCTCCTGTGAGAAGCAAGAAGATAATGCTTCACACAACAATGTCATTTGTTAATTGAATTGTGGATTTACTTACATACTCAGGATGCAAATGCAGCATCTGAGTTATCAAAATCACTGCAGCTCCCACTCCTGTTAACTCCTACCTAGGTTCTAATCTGTGACCAACCTTCTGAACCAAAGATCACACCTCAGATCCTGTCTTCACTAGAGGTTTTCTGCCTGCCCTCAAACAAGTCATGTCACTGTTTTGTGTCGTGTGTTCTTGCCTGCATATGGACATTCTTGACATTCTGAGGGCTTCTTAGGGATACAGTTATGAATTGTATAGAACCTCAAGGAGAATGGAGCAGAGCACTACGTGAGGACTTTCATTAGCTGAAGAACTACAACAAAAGAGAGAGGAGGGTCAGAAGAACTTCGATCCTTTTCCTTCTCAGACAAAAAACCTGTAATCACTCTTAAAATCACTCACGGGTTAGGAGTGAAGGCTCAGAACTAAACTTCACCCCGGACCTACAGAACACGTAATGCCTCTGGTGAAGGAAGCTGCTTACCGCCTGAGTGCGTTTGTCAGTTCAGCAGTCACTTCACTCTCATCATATGGACTCAGCTCACCTAGTGTTAATGCTGTTGCTGCTGCGGTGCCATCACTGCCTTCCTGAGAAATGAGGAAAGGCCATCAAAGTTAAAGTTATGTACCACCTTAATGGGAAAACTCTGGAAACTTCTTAGTTTGCAGCTACTTTTAAAATGAAGGTGAAATAAACATCACAGTGTCACAGCAACATGGCAAGTCTATCAACATAGTACGAAATGGACTAAATGGATTAACACTTCACAAATCCTTCTAAATGTTTCCTAAACCACCACAGCTCACTGATTTGCAGAATTCTGCTATAGCGTGCATAACTGTTACTGCATTTTATTACTTTGGACACCAGAGTTGAAACAAAGCAGCACTGGATCTAACAATTCAGATGATGCTTTGCCAGAAACAAAACAGAAAAACAATTATACACTACCCCTGAAGTTTGTTTTTTAACACATTACTGAGGCTTTCTGGAGACACAGCACTAAACAACCAGATAAATTTTTTTCTAGGAATCACTATTTATGCAAATTCTTAATGTAAATACAGAAATCTGTTTATTTTGCATTATACTGAGGTGGAACAAATTCTTCATTCTCGAATTATTACAAACTGTCTGACTAGGAAAAAGAGATTGTCATTACAATGCTCTAACTGCTTAATTGAAATGGTATTTTGCTTAGACTCTCTTCCAGTGTTCCCAGTGAATGGCAACAGGCAAAACACAAGATGTTCAGCCACAGTAGCTTGTATATTTGGCAGGAATGGCTCTGTGGTGCTCCTCCCCAAAAATGACCATCTTATTTTAGCCTGGCTTAACAGTATTTCTGAAAAGTTCTCATAAATTACACCACTGAAAGGATCACCTAACAACTGCAGAAGAGAGAAAAGACATAGCCAAAAGAAGAGAATTATTAAAATGCTAAAGGCAAGAGGTATAATAAATTGTGTTAATGTCAATTTTAGACATTTGTTTGACTCCTGACCTTGCCCAGTTTGTCTTTGCTTCCGCTGCTCGTTGAGCTGAGAGACCTCATCCTCTCTTCTTTTTGCTCTTCCACTTCAGACTTCAAGTGCTCAATATGGATTAGGTAGGCCTGCTCCTGGGCCTCTCGAGTGCTCAGTTTCAATTCCAATGCCTTCTTCTCCTTCTCCAGCAGGTAAAGCTGTGCCTTAAGCTCTGCCATCTCCTCCTGTTGAAGAAACATTATCAGCATGCTGCTTCATGAGATTACATACCTAAAGGAAGAAGTTAAACAAGATTTTCATTCACTCCTATTACTTGAGTGTTCTTTCCATGGGGAACACAATCAGCATCCAGAAGGCTTTTTATAATCACATGGTGTATTTGTCAATGGATCAGGATATCTTGAGACTGAGTATGATGAGCTGTGCCATCCTTTAATCAGCCTCAAATAACCTCACAGGCAACAGACCAGCTAATCTGGCGCTGAAATTAGAGTAGAGGGATCACAGAGGGTTGTGACAGCTGCTGAAATTTCTTTGGTTGTACTTTGCCCTTCCTTCAGAGACCACTGCCCTAAAACCAGTGTCTGACTTTCTTGTCAAACACCTCCCTAAATGCCAGATTCCAACTTCTTATTAATACCTAATAATTAAGAGTTGGTTTATCTCATTACAGTGGAACAGGTTTGAGGGACAAGGACAGCAGACACAGATCATATATTCTTGCCTCATAATACCAGCCTCTGTAGTAGAATGCACTAGTCAAAAAGGGCAACTGATATCCATTTTTAGTTTTTCTCTTCTAGATGGTTAGAATCACACCTACACACAACAATTGCAATTCACAAAATTGCACTCACATTCTTCCCATGAATATGATCCACAGAAGATGGACATAGGTACTTTGTAGAAAGAAGCTCAATTCTGAAAGCTAATTCTTGTGTCACTCCAGTATTAATGGCTGACAACTATTTAACACAACACTTGCTGGTGGTACAGACTTCTGCCCTAACATCTGCTCTGACAGTGTTAGTCATGAGTGCAGTGTGACTCTTCTTTCAGCACTTGCTTCCAGCTTCCCATGAAAAGCAGAGGATGGGTGTCCTGAACAAGAAGACTCTTCGCGTTTAACAACACTTCAGCAAAGTTTCTTCCACAAAATGTCCCAGGACAACCCATCATCTGCAAAACACTAAAGAGACAGACATAAAGGGATAAACATAATTTACATTATGTGTTTAAAACCACTATCAAACAAAATGACTGCCAAAAAGACTGCCCTGAATCATGTTCTCACTGTTGAGCTTGACATGCCCTAGGTCACCGCATGGGTGAATACTGAGTTAATGCAGCCATTTTCTGTATCAGGGTTCATTTCTAGACTTGGTCACTATGCAAACATCTCTGAAAAATAGAATTTTCTTGTTGGTGGCCAGAATTTTGAAACAGAAAAAAATATCTGAGTCACAAAGACATTACAGGTTGTCAGTTTACCTTCAAAAATAATGCTTTTGGTATTATATGCATTATTAACAAAGATTGTACAAACAGGTATCTTGGCACATATTTGGACCAACTTTTTCTGTAGAAGAAAATCTACATCCCTACCATGTGATGTCTGGATTAAGCATAAGCAGTGCACAAAGGTGTAGACAGTTACAATAGCATACAGGAATCTCAGGTGATCATTGGATTATTCAGAATTACCAACCATGCAAAAACAAAATCCATATCCTAAATTCCTCCAAGATTGGAAAGATTCATATGAGCTTTAAAATCACTCCCTTAGTCATCTATTTATTTGTGAACTGCGGATTAGCAGCACAATCAGTTTCATCCAATGTGGTTTACAGAAATCTAGTTGTTAGGCAAATTTAACCATCAAGTTCCTTTGTCTACAGCAAAAATGTAAACAATACTGATACATAATGATGAGGCAATTTAATTACAGAATTTGAACTGGTATACTCAAGTGGACATATTTAGCTTCTTAAGCCTATTTCTAAAGCCATTAATCTACTTAGCCTGCTTAGTGAAGGCTGAGAAGTAATTTGAGTATTTTGGCATGTACGTGAATACTCTTGATAAAGGGCTATCTATGCGGGAGGGTCACGTAAAGATTCTCCCAGGTTGGAAGCTGAAGTTAGGCAAATTCAGCCTAGAAATCAGGGACATTAATTTCCTAAAAAAAAAGGTGAACTTAGCCACTGCAACAATGGATCTATGGAACTGATGTTTCCCATCAGTTGAGAGTTTCAACTTAATGACTGGATGTTTGTTTGTACTACATATCCTAGCTGAACATAAATTTGAGGATCAATGGTTAACTTATTTGTTTATGAAGACAGTAAGTTTTTGACATCTTATATGAATTCACAAATTTGTACCCTGTCCCAGAAGACATAGCATGGACTCCAAAAGCTCTCCACATGTGTTAGCTTCCTTGTACCAAGGCAATGTGACTTTGAAATAGAGAAGCAAAGACAAAGCAGGGCAAAACCATCAACCTCTGTCGTAAAGAGTGGAAAGGGAAAGAGCAGCAAGGGATGGAAAGGCTGAAGTTAAAAGCTGAGGATTCTGATATGGATACATATAATCTGTGAGGATGGGTGGCAAAAGTCACATTTCACCTGGGAAAATTTAAGTAGCTCAGATTAACTTTCAGAGTTCATTATTCCTTACACATGCAGCATCTTCTTCCATGAAAACACATTTTCTAAAGATAGTGTCTAAATTTCATTTCAATGACAACATCACCTTTGTATTTCCTTTATTTTTTTCTTTTTCTTCCCCCCCCCCCCCACCCCTTCCCCCAGTTACTGGGTGCTGGTGAAATATTTGCAGTTTAACCTATCTGTTCCTTCAGGGTGTGGACCTAAAGTGGCATTTACAAAATGAAACCCCGAAGGAGGTTGCAAGTAGTCACTCTTCCAGTTTTTTTGCAGAAGACTTACACAAGCTGTTCAAATTCACAAGCTTCAAGCACTAAATCTACCAGTAAGGATTAATTAACTGAATATTGAGGAATATTATGTACTTGCAGTCATACTGTAATTCTGAATTTGGGTGAAAACTTGATGACAATTAAACAACACCCCAACATAATCAACATAATCAGAAACACCACATAATTCTCAAAATTCAAACTGGTACTGGATGTGGTCATGCCAGAATAAAACAGCATTGACTCTTATGTGGCAAAAAATTCTAAAAGTCATGAAAAGGGGATTCTCAAAGGATCACAGTACACAAGGTAGAATATACCAGCCTTCAGAAGTAAAACAGGTATCAGAGCAGATAAATGCCATGCTCTAGTTAACTGTGTTTTACTACATACAAGAGCATGAAATGTTGTAACAAAGGTGGACAAGAGGATTCTTAACATTTTCTGCAGAGAGTCTGTAGTCTCAAAGCACATTATGAGCAGTATTATCACAACCTGTACACAGAAGAGGAAAAACTACCAGTGTAGAAAGCTAAGACTTATCTACATTACGTACTTTGAAATGCAGAAAGGCTGAAAATGAAGAATTTTTTACACCCATCAGAATTAATCTCCTTCCTAACTGGGGCACGACAACAACTGACCTCAAAGCAAGCCCATTAAATGATGACAAACCACAGACCAGAATGCATTTGGAAATGTAATTAATTACTGCTTGAAGCAAAGATTTGCATTCTATAGCAGTTCTGGAGAAACACTACGTCTTACACTCTGGATAAAAAATAAAGAAATAAAATAAATAAAAAGAAATAAACAGGGCAACAGAAAAACCATCTTCAAATCATCTTTTTATGGATAATTTTCATCAGTAATGAAGAATTAATGGTATAAAGGAACTTTCAGAATATTATCAGCGTAACAGATAGAAGAAATAAAACAATAAATCTGGACATCAGTTTTTACAAGGATTCATTAAATGAAACATGCTAAAAGATGCAGCAGAGATCCCAACACAAATACAAGTTTCAGAAAGACAGCAGCAGGTGTAAGACCCAGCAATGCAGAAAATCCTTGAGTAGCTTAATCAAGCTGTACCATCCTTGCTGGTTGATGAAAAGCCAAGACACTCAGAAAGCCAAGACATCCATGAGTTCTGCCCGTAGGTTCAGCTATGTTATAACTTGTTGAACATGAGTGAGGTGCAATGCAGACCTAAGCCACAACCATAAATGCTAATAGGTAGCACATCCTCTTGGGACCAAAGCAAGCAGAGTGTTGCTGTGCCTTTTCTAATGCTTTATGCATAGAAGAAGGGTATGAATTTCTTGTTTCTATAGCAGGAGAGCACTTACCAACAAATCTATCGCAAGTTTTGACAAACCTGAGTTTTCACTATGTCCCTTTCAGAAATGCAGGAACTCCCTGAAGTCATGATTTTCAGAAAGTGCAACAAATTATAACAAATAACAATGCTACCAGTTTTTCTGAACCAGAAAGGACTTAAGGTGACTTCAGCTACCTGTGTAAAATGCATGGATTAGCACTGTGCACAAACCAATCAAGAAGAAAGATTTCTTTTTCTTCTAGGGACAATTTCTCTAGTGAAAACCCAATGTGCTAGGTAAAGTCAAAAGTTATGAGTGTAAAAAACAAGTTACAGGATTTAGTGAACAAAAGGATTACCAGCACTCAAAACTGTAGCAGAAATTATGATATGCAATTGTTGGTGTCCCTGCCAGGTCAGGGAATGCCAGAGCACTAATTGCAAAGGACAGCTCTGCAGTTTGCCTTTACCTATCAATTTAAAGATAGAACTGTGTATAAGAGATTTCACAGAAGATCTGGATGCAAAAGAGGAGATGTAAGTGTGATATCTGAAATATGCATATAATTATCTATGAATATTTTCCAGTACATCTTGAATGCTTTAACTGTGGGGAATATATTGCTGTTGGCCACAATATATTCTAACAACTAAAACAACTTTAAATCTTCTGACTGGTAACAGGTAATCTTTTTTCTTTGAACTTCAAATATTGAATGCATTATTGCAAAATTGTATTGTCATCATGGAAAAAACAGTACCACTAAGAAAGAACAAAGTTATCATTTCTAGACTTAGGCAGCAGCAGCACATCGGAACGAAAATCTATAGCTTTAGGAGTTTATAAAATTATTGGGATTTGCTGTTATACATGATACATCACCTAATATATTCTGCCATTAGCTGACTAAAACAGGACTTGTCAATATGCAGAAATTAAACTTATTTAAACTGAACAAAATCCAGACAACTTCTAAATGCAGTCATGTGCTTGTATGAGGCTTGCTTTCCTTTGATATGCTCCTGTGTTTTAGTTCACCTCACTCAATACAGAAGCCAAATTTAAAATGACATGAGCTCTATACCTGGTCAACAAAGGTCAGTTTTTCTTAATAACCTCTTTAGAATTCTATGTATAAACCAGGCCTGAAGGACCAGTGTTTTCTCCAAAAACTGTGTTACTGCAAATCACTACACACTATACTCTTTGTTCAGACTCTGAACTAAGCTACAGATTGCAACACAGTGCCTGGAACAGCTCTGGACTTGTGACCGACCACTCGAGAGCATTAGGGATGATAGCTTCTGACCATCCTCCCATGACAACATTAGAAAGAGGTAAATTTGTTCTGCTTCAGTTCACAAATATTCAAGATACACATTTGCAAGCTTGTAGGGAACTGTCTCTTGGGAAGTTCTCTATCATGCCTTTGGCTACCCTGAAGCAACTCAGCTGCCACATCTCTCAGGGAGAGCACCATTTGTCAAGCAGACCATTCCAAGTTCAGAGCCATGGATGAAGTCTTCACCTAATTCAAAACACACGTACTTTGCCAGTATTAACGCACTGCTTCTCACTTTCTGACTACTGGGTGTTCAGCCCTGATTATTTGCTTTACTGAAGCTACCCTTTATTACCCAGTGATCCCTGTTAAAGCATCCCACATGTGTGACTGAAAGTGTTTTGGAGCAGTTTTGTAGGGGCATTGTCAGCAGTGAAGTGAGCCAGTTGGATATAAATAAAATACCTTCATTGCCATAAGTTCCTGCATCAAGACTGCATTTTCCAGGTCTAGCCTCTGGCTGTCTCCTCGAGGTTTAACGTCATAACTAAGGGGATCAATGTGGACGCTTTCCAGCTCCAGCATTGTCAGTTTCACTGCTGCTCTGTCATTTTTCAACTGCTGTATGTAATCCTTCAGTCGTTGCTCATCCTCCTTTGTAAATTCCGTATCACAACTGCTTGCAGTTGAGCTGGTAGTACTGGAAAGAGAAAACAGTATTTTAAGAAAGTCTGGAACAAAATCTGCATTTTTTCATCAACTTCTGCCCCCTCCCCCCCCCCCCCCCCCATCCTGAGTAGTTCATCAACACATCTGAGTCTTAAAAGTTCAGAGAAAGGACACACACAGCACGAACTGGATGCTGCAATGCTCAGAAGATGCAGAGGGGTATGACAAATTCAGAAAATAAATTAATTCTCTAAGCTGCTTGAGAAAATTTAATCATGTGACAATTTCCCTGCAAAGCCGAGTATTTAGTGACACATAACTGAAGTCCTTTTTCTGGAATCATGTCTTCTGAAACCAGATTTTTAATTAAAAATCTGAAAATAAATAGCTACTGAAGATTTCTTAGCAGTACCCTAGCACAGCAAGCTTCTCTGCTGCTCATACCCTAAGTCTTCATCTTCTTTGGAAAGAAGCATCTGCTAAAAAAGAAAGAAGCAGGCCAGACTTCATTGATCTTTGCTGATAGCAATATACATTATGAGCTTAGACATTTTTAATGGACACTTGCAGGAATCAACCAGAGCAGAATTACACTGGTAATTGTCAGGAGTACACTGACATTCTTTAAATTCATGTTAAGATGTATTCTTCAGTTCATTGACATTCTTTCAGGGCTGGAGGGCTTATAACTCCTAAGTTAGTAAAAATTTTTAACAAAAAGTCACCATCAGATTTGGCAGAACTTCTCCTATCTACAAACAAATGACTGCCCATTAGTCTGCCCCACAAATCTTTGCACAGAGATCACACAAAGTGAGAACTAATGCCTTAGAGAAAGGGTGGCTCAATGCTGCCTAGCCACTTACACACGTGCCAGTGCTGCAGGGGGCCGAGACTGATACCGTCATAGCATTCCAGGGCTCAATATAATTGCAATAACACTAAAAGGAAAATAAAATACCATGCTGTTTCTATAACCTCACTCAAAGCTGCCCGCTGTCTCCTGAGGTCCTGTAATCAGATGCCGGGTGAGAGATAAGTCATCCATTAACTGCTTGTCTGGAATGCTAGATGATCTCAGTTATCAGCAAAAATAATTTTCTATGATGTCAATTTGCACTGCTGTTCAACGTTTTTGTAAGAATTAAAAAGCCCTACCTGCTACATGTTGTAGGAATCAGGATGAATCCTAAAACATATTATGCATGTGAAAAAGGGGAAACCTATCAAGATAGGCTTGATTTTTCTCTTTTTCTTTTGGTTCTACTGCAGCTAAAGCTGAATTGATTTTTAAGTGCCTCTAATTGTCAATCTTCCCACAAATTCCAAGCACAGCCTTGGAGGAGATGGAGAATTGGCAGGTCTACAAACACTTTTCAAAATCCTTCCCTCTCATGAAGTATCGCATTACAGTTCTTTACCACAGTTTTATCTATCAATTCCCCATTTTTTACTTCCTCTTCTTAGGGGTAATAGGTGCCATATTTACCACAAGTGTAGACTGGTCTTTGCTTTTGTCTTCTGCCATTACTATCTGCAGTGAAGCTAAAAACACCCAGTACATAAAACCCCTTCCAGACTGAAACAAATCTGTGTTCACAGAATGGTTTGGGTTGGCATACTTAGCTTTTCATTAGAGAATCTTGAAATAGTAAAGCAAGATTTACTGAATCTAAAGCTGTCTTTCTAAAGTAGATAGTGATTAAAAAATCATATGGATAACAATATGAGAAATACTTAATTCTGTACCAAAGTCACGTTGCAAGTTTTCTCAGCACCCAAAGCAATTGCACCGTTTTTCTGGATTAAATACAAAACAGCTGCTGTTGGAGGAAGAACAACTTTTAAAACCTACATGGGCTTCAAATCTTGGGACACAAAAGCGCTCATCTCATTTAGCATCAAGATTTCACCCAGAAGATTGGAAGCAGTATGTGATGCAGAAAGCTGGGGTACAAAGCCTACTTTGGACTGTTGTGAAAATAAGACTGAGTGATGAGGGATGGAAACACACTGAACTCCCACAGAACAGCTCTGCCATCCACCAAAAGCCCGATCATATACCTCCCCATAATGCTAGTCCATTGCTGCACTATTTAAGGCCCACAGCTGGTGAGCGTATAAACTTGAGTTTCAGATATTGTTCTCTGTTCTTAAGAGCACTCAGGACAAAGGAAAACAGACTGGCAGAATGCATATATAGTATAATGCATCCATCCAAAAACCACATGAAACTCTTGCAAAAGATGTGCAGTTTCTCATGTCTGAAGCATATAGTTAAAGGACAGAGAAAGGATCATCATTTCCTCACACCTGGAGGGAACACAACAACAATCTGCTCATTGGTACTGTATTCATAACAAGTAAGAGAAATGTTCTTCCCACTTGCTTCATCCCTCCAGTCTTTTATAATGATGACATGCCTGGATGATGTCAATTTGCATATACAGCCTGTGGAAAATATGTAGATCAATATAGCATAATGTGCAGTTTTATTTGCTGGCATGCGTGTGTGTGTTCACATGCACATGTGTGTTCACATGCACTTGTGTGTATATGAAACTCAGCAGATGGATAAAGTGAGGCTTCCAACAGTGCCTATTTGTGAGTAACTTCAGTACATTACAAAATTTTGCCCATAAAATTCTATAAGCTTCAGTTAATCTGTTAAAAATCAAATCAATAAATAAATCTGCAATTCAGCAATTGTGTAGACAATACAAAAGTTGACATAACTATAATGCTGTCAGAACAAAATCCACAAAACTTGCTTGAATGTCTGCATGCAACTGTACACTGCAAAGAATGCATTTGATAGAGAGTATATACAGGCCACCATCTTCTAGGGAATGACTGTGGCTTGAGATAGGAAAGAGCACAAAGCCAGAAGACAGTAACTTCCTGAGAAACTGAAAAATATGCCAACCAGCCAAAAGACAAACAACAGCCTATCTGGCTAAATTTAGAACCTCTGGTGAAACTACTCTGCTTCCTTCTGAGAATAATTAGGTCCAGCAATGAAGTCCTAAATAACATAGAAATATCACAACAGGTATCTTAAAATAACTTATTTGCACACTTCAGACAAGAAAATCTTGTCTGTCAGCTACCTATCCAAAATCTGCAGTAATTCTGATATTCTGTTACACTGTGTAATATTGAAAAGAATTCCCTTTAGCATGTAAGAGACCAGATCTTTTCCTCCATGAATCTAGATGTAAGGCTGGGCTTACTAGCACTGCAGAGAATAAAATCCACTGTTTTCAACTGGTATTACCACCAGAGTCTCTTTCCTTCTTTTTAAGGTACAGTCAAACCTTGTTGGCAATGTTTGTTAGTTTCTGTCCATTAAAATAATTATGACTCCCAACTACACTGTAGGCCTATTCCATTTTCCAAAAATGAATGGGTAACATTGTGGTGCTGCTAACTAAATAATCTGAGATGCTTGTTACTAATTTTATCCACTTTAGCAGAGCATCTGTGATGGTTTTTGGTTGCCTTTCATTTATTTGCATTTGAGTTGCTCCCTTTTCCATTCCTAACCACTTGTAACTAGCAGCTCACTAGCTGTTTATTCTCAGTAACACATTCAACAATTTGACATTCAGAATCTCATCTGAAATGCCAAAGCTAAAAATGGGTCAACAATTGCATTATAAGTTCCACTTCTACAGGATTCTGAACAGCGAGTAGAATTACTCATTTGTCACAAGCCTCAGGCACGAAGAGTTTTCATCATGGCACCACCTCTTTGCTCAGCTAGTTTCAAAGGGAAAAAGTAGCAATACATACAGGCAACTAAAAGCATGCAACACTGGAACAGCCATGCCAAAAGATCAATCTTGCAGATCTGGAGTATGTTTGAACCATGTAATGTAAAACTGTTTTCATTTCAATATATAGTGGTCCCCAAATGGAGGTTCACACAGCGTTCACTAGTGATGCAGGCTTGTTCTACTCGCCAGTTTTACAGACATTAAGCCCGCAGGAATAGAATCATAGAATCATAGAATATTGGAAAAAACTTTTAAGATCATCAAGTCCAACCATTAAATAGCTAGAAATCTGTAGTCTGCTTTCCTGTTTGTGCTTGGATTGCTATTGCAATGCAACATGAATGGAAATGGAAATTATCAACATCAAAGAATCAAAGACAGCTATAGGTCTGCAGCAAGGGGATGTGTGTCAGAACAGCAGGGAGCCAAGTGGCAACAGAACACACATGAATGGGGTGAGAGAGCTGACAACACAGGCAGGATAATGACAAAAAACAGGAGTAGGGTCCTGGAGAGAAGGAAAAGGAATCCAGAATGATAGGGAGAACGGAATTATAGGCAAAATCATCAATTTTTTAAACCGGAGATGTAGCATTTACTGATATAAATAAAGTGTGTGCCTTTTAAACCAATATAGATTTTCCATCTATGGGCTGTCACAGTGTCATGTGTCTCTAAATGAAGAGGGTATGCCTCTGTTGTCAGACAGGGTCCACACGAAGGAGAAATCTGAAAACACCACATTATCACTTAACAGAACAGAACGGAAGAGTCATGGAGAAGGTAAAATTAAAAGAATATTCTCACTGACATGTATATTTAGACAAATTATACTGGTTGTGGGGGGAGTAGAGAGGGATGACAATGTCTAAATGTCGATCCGATCGGGTTGCCCATGTGACAAGGTCCTGACTTGCTATGTGCCCTTTGGGTGACTGAGTACTCACGTTCTACATCTATCAAAGCAGGTAATAGTAGTTACCTTGTTCACTATAGTGTCTTGCTCTCCATCAGAAAAAAAAATAAAAATCCTACAATGATAATGATTTTTATCTAAAATCCTGCACACAGAAGAATTTACATTTGCAGTTTTACATTTCATGACACAGTTTACACTGATGAAATTTGAAATCCTATGCTATTTTAATAATATTCTGTTGAAACTTTATATCCTCAGTCAACATGCTGCATGCACATGTACACACAGTGCCAGCTGAACACAAAATGTTCAAGGTAAACAATGAGCATGAGGGATGATTTTCTTCCTCAAACACATATACATCCATTCCTTACCCTTCCCCTCTAAAAACCAAAAATGTGTTCAACAATGCAAGGACTGTAAAGACTATATTCTTACAAACACTTTCAGGGAAAGGCTAAGAGAATAGACAATAAAAGAGGAATCAATTCTTCGCTCCATTTTCCCCTGTCAATCCTGGAGACTAGCTAAACTTCAATTAAAAAAAAGATGCTTTGACTACATACTAGACATCTCACAAAGAAGAAAATCACCGAGGTTATAAAAAAAGAAAAGGACCCTTTCAAATAACAGCATGGACAACTAGCTCAGCCTAGGTAGAGGTATTGGGTTTTGTGGTCACAACCTGTTCACATGCAGGGGTAGATAATGGTGTAAGAGAATGCAAACTGAGGCAAGGCAAGTCAAGAGTTTTGAAACAGCTTTGTACTTTTGAATGACCAACATGTTACTAACTGCAGATGCTGCCACATTAATTTCTATGTAAAAATACAGCTTTCTTGCACTGAAAACGCATCATAAAATTCTTAGAATAAAACCTAAAAATTTACCTCACATTTGGACCCTGTTCCCTCAGGTTATCTTTTTGCTCACTTTTCAGCTTTTCCATGCTAGTCATACATCAGGAGATAGCACCCTTCGGAGAAGGCATCAGCAAGAAGAAACTGTATGGTATTAAAATAAACTTCTAAAGTGTCAAAAATGACAACATTTGAATAAAGAATGGGCTCAAAAATTGAATTAAAATTAAATTTTAGAGTGAATCTGTGGAACCAAAATATCTTTTAAAAAGAAAAATTATCATCTATTTTTGTCCAGGATGCTTGCCAAATAATATCCATACACAAGCACAAGCGCACATAATCACTGCACAGAGCACAATTATACCTCAGGCAGGCAATGACTCAAAATGAAGCTGCTAGCAGATGCATTTGAACTGGAACACTTCTGCAACAATAGCTCATTTAAGTTTCATTATTTTACAGGTCTTCAGAAAAACTGCAATATCTATCCTTTCCTGGAAGAATCCACTCTATCTATGATGAAGTTCATTTGCCACTCCACATGTGAAAGAACAGAATGGGGAGCTTGGAACAGGGGCAAAGCAAAATGGGAGAGCAAATGGTTTAAAACACGACTGGATTTGCAACATTTACAAAAACCTCCTGAGTACTCCAAAATGCTCATGAAAGTATATTTCTGATCTCTGGTTCTCAGTGTGTCTGTGCTGTCTGCACATAACAGATATGAACAAGAAGTACATGACTTGAATTCCAATAAAACAGCAAGAAAGTCACTGAAGTAGAACAAATATAATGGATTTGCTCTTTATGAGGAAGATGAAAGTTCAGAATCACTCCTTTGCAACAGATTTACACAGGACTCTTCTTGGCTGGAGTTGCTCGAAGTCTAAAGCAAATCAGACCACTGACATATGGCGACTTACAAATCAAAACAAAGAAGCCAATGGACTGAGGAGAAGGAGGTAGTTCAGCAGACTTGGGGATTAGGAGAGCAGACGAATTGCAGTTACCTTGTGTGGCTGTTGGATGACAGGCTTTCCCAGGGCTGTACGCTACAGCCGGTGATTGCATAGGCTCCTCCGCAGCTCCCATCTAGTTTTATCAGCAAGGCTTTTGCTGCGTTCTCAGCTGTCTTCCGGCAGTCATGAGCTCTCTTAAGCATTTGAGTGATGTTTTCATCACCTGCCTGGTCCCCTGGTTTTCAAGCAAACAATCTGTTTCAGAGCTTTCAGAAGGGTGATAGAAATTAAGGCAAGAGTAGAGATGCTTCTACATGCTCTCAGTTTATACCAAGAAGTTGACAATAAATTACCAATCGGTGATGTAAAAACAACTTTACTTCTGCCTGAGTATCAGTGGTAACTAATGCCTGAATAATGCATCTCCCTCCCAGCCACAAGCTCCAGGCACTTGCTGCTCTGGGTACATGTCTTAAGTAATGTTTTATCTTAGCTTGTTTGTCTATTTGTAAGGGTGTGCATTAGGATTAGGTTAGGATTCTCAAAATAATTCACTGTAAAAACATTTAGCCTTAATTACAACTTTTACTCCAGTCACTCCAGTGGTGTTTGACAGTGCAGTCATTTACAGTGCTTTTTTCTCAACCACCTTCAACTCAAGCCTAATGGTTTGCCAGAACACCTTCTTACAGGTTGCCTTTCCAGCTGAAGAATTGCATTACAGCTTAGAAGCAGCCTTTCAGAGTTTACCATCATGAATCCTAAACTCAGTGAAAACTAGAACTGATGTTTCTTAATTTGATAATAATTTCTAGTGGTTATACAGCATTGTGCAGCTGGTAAGCCATCTCTTTAGCAGAGGGAGGACATAAACCACCACTGTCACCATACTTACAGTCTTAACTCCAGAAGAGTCATTAAAGTAATACACATTAGTGGCTACACTGAAATTCTGAACAAACCTACAATTTATTCATAGTTTACCAAATTCAATGCAAAGATGTCAGAAAGTATTAACAAACCCTCCCATCCCTGGTTTGCTCTATGTCACATTTTAATTTTATCCTTCTTCAAGTCAAAAGACCAATTACCCAAACTTCATACTTGCTAATTGAAGTGCAATGCACTAGAAAATAATGTGAAAAAAAATGGAGAATTTTCTGTTAAGAGCAGCTGCATATGCTTAGCTCTAAGTGATGCAGAAGCAACTCCCATGAATTTTCCACTCACAGGTGTTGATAAAACTTGGCTGATCTTCAAACAAGAAAATCTGCTATCTAGGCATTTTAACCAAATTTAATGGTGAAGTAAAGGTATGTAAACCAAACAACTTCCCCCAAGTTGCATATGTAATGGGAAATGGTCACTATTTCCACTAAAGGGCTGTAACTCTTAATACCGTAACTAGGAGCTGTAGACAGACATCTGATAAAAACTAAATGACACCTTCTTTCATAAAATGCATGTGACATGAAACCACAGTCAAGCCCGAAGTATTTCTCTCTTCTAAGATTTCTTTCTGTCACCTGTGTGAATAGAAAATCCAAGACAAACTCACTTTCGCTGGCCACTTATCTCTGCCAGCAGGGAAAGCTCCCTAGTACACTGTGGAAAGGAAAGACCAGAGTCTGCAAAAAAGGTGGATGAAAATGTCAGACCTCCACTCTAATGTTTACTGCATGGCACACACTGCACAGGCCAAGACATGTACACAAGGGCCTGCTTCTAACACTGGCAGAGACGCAAAATAAGGGACAAGGTTAGCAGCACAGCAACTGTGGGCTGAGTGCATCTAGGCATCTGAAACACGAGGTTGACCACATCAAGCCAGATGGTCACTCTGTCTCTGAAAGCTTCCTGTTTACACTTCAGTGATTTCTGAGAAGCTAGTGCTGTAGTAACTGTCTCAGCCAGGCAATTACTACACCTCAGCATAGCATGAAGAGATATTTTTCTCTCTCTGAAGTTTTCCTCCTCTTTCTACTTGAAGATTACTGTTGCTATCTTCTCCTATTGGTAAAAGGAATGGGGCTATAAAACCCAGATTAACATTCATTGTGTAAACACCTCTTTCTATTTGAAAACCATAGCCAGCAGCTGTACCTGCACAATAGTGGCTCATTCCGTTACTTTGTAAGCAATATACCAAAAAACACCACCACCTATCCACAAGATTAAGTACCCACAAAGTAAGAAATCCAGAACTTACAGGCTAACGTCCCTGAAAACACAGTATAACATTAGACAGAGTGTTTTAAACTTTCAGAGAAAAAGTAAAATGTGGACTGTAAAACTACAGCCATTTTTTTGAACACTACTCAATGCTGCCTTTGTATTGTCTTATCCCAGTTTTTCATAGACTATATGCAGCTTCTAGGAGGTAAGTGTTTCTGGTTCAACCAGTATCTGTCCTTGCAGTTAACACAGCTGTATGGCCCTAAGACACATATGCTCATGAGTATTGTTTAATAATTCCACTCTGTTCAGTTGCATGCCTGTAAGTGAGTAACTTTTGCCAGAATAGACATCCCTTTGTCATAACATACGTAGGTGAATTTAGACTGCTGGTGAACTTTACGACTCAATTCCAGTCTCCTTTTCCCTAGTTTTTTTGGTGTGTTAAATTATTTAGTTATTTAAAATCAAGAAAAGACTGGAAAGCATTGTTAAGTGATGGGTCATAAGCTGATTCTCTGTTATAACTAAGTCAAATGGTAACTGACATGAAAAAGACAAAAAAAAAGTGGTTCACTGATGTCTTACCAACAGAACCAACACCTGCAGCTTTGAACTGCCCAAGAATGAGACTCTGCTCGGTTTCTGCCAAAGCCAACAGCAGCTCATATGCTTCTATGCACTGTTCACTGAAAGAGAAAATAAACGACAGAAATCTCACAAAATATATGTACTATTTAGAGGGGAAGAATACCTGCAACAGAGGTAGGTGATGAGCTGCATGATTCCCTATGTCTAGCGGCAGGAATATTAAATGACATAACATGCACAGCTTCTATCACAAACATCCAACATTCTGTCTTTCCTTCTGATGGTCCCAGATTGGTCTCCAGTAATGTAACAAGTTGAAAATGGAAGAGAATGACCTGATGTGAAGTAAGCTCCGGAAGCATGCTTTGAACAGTCAGCAATACAAACGGTAGCTGACACAATCCCTTTGAGAAACTTTGTTCAGGCCTTCTTACTATACAAAATAGAGTATTCTAAACTCTGCTAATATAACTATACTATGCAAAGTATGCTAAGAAGAAAAGACAAGAAAATACTTCTTGCTCTATCCTAGCTGTAAGATTTTCTTCCTTACAACACAACAACTTCTCAATACAGTTGTGAGTCACTCATTCCTGCTGCATTCCAATGGTTTGAAAATATATTAATATGTCTATTTGCAATTTACATTTCCTTGTAATTTGGTCAAGGCTGATAGTAACAGAGCGTTCTCTAAAAGGCCCAAAATTTGTCTTAAGACCAGAACTGCCTGTTCTAAATTAGTTGCAGTTAGAAGAGTTAAATGTCACCATCTTTTACATACAGTTTAGAGCAAATTTAGATACGCATAACCAAATACCAACCAATTCATCCACAACTCCAACTGATGTAATATAAAGTCACTCTGAATTATGCGGAGTACAATAATACTCCTTGATCCACTCTCTTGAGAAAGGTGTCAGCATAATACAGAAAATATCTTATGACTGGATGGAGCAGAAACAGTTTGAAGCTACACACAACCTCTAATTCAAATGCTAATTCAGTATTTAAAAATAAAAAGATAAATATGTACATGTCTGTTAGATTGAGTTGACTACTGCTGGTAAACCAAGGCTGAAATACACTTGTATCAGTCACTTCAGTTTGGTAGTTTTTCATGGAGTTTAACTAAGGGGGCACTTTTTCAAATAGGAAACAAACCTAAACAGTGTTATTATGGCACACCAACCATTTCACTCTCAAAGACTTCTATCAAATATCATCACTCCCTCTTTTTCTCTCTGAAACACCCTCTGCGTAGGTACACACCTGTACTGCAATGCAAGCCTGAGGGCTGTGGCATTGGACTCGTACTTCCCAACAAGCATGCTCATCCTTTCAGCATTGCTCTTGCACTCTTCCAGTGTTATTGTCAACAAGTCATTCTGGGATTTCAAGTGCTCAATGCGGCTGCAGAAAAGGAAGTAATTTGTAACCTTAAAATTAGCTTGCAGACACTCTCCTGAAAACTTGAGAACAATCATAATTTAAAACAACAAATACCATCTGGTCTATGCAAGGTTTTTAATGAAGCTGCCAAAATCTGTAAGTTCTGTGTTCCATATCAAGAACCAACAGGATAGTTAATTTCTCTTAGGACAGCCTCTTCTCCTCTCCTCCCCTCCGCATAAAATGTAATTATAACCCTGTACAACAGCAGCAAGCAGAAAGCTTGTACCCTTATTTTGTAGCCACAAGACAGCAGAGGCCAGTTTCATAACAACCTTTTGCTTAATTTTATTTCCTCCATTCCTCACTTTCTGGTGCCACATTTGGTTCTTGTTTTAAATGTTGTATTCATTAGTGCAATGTGCGGGTGCATGTAGGGATCATGCAGCTGCATAAATTCCCCCTTTCTTTGAAACATCCTGAATAACCACTTCACTTGAAGCCATATTCTGGTTGTGATTAGAGAGGTAACTTCCAAAATACAAGAAGGCCATGAAATCTCCAAAAGTTCTGGCAACAGTAAAACAGAAACTCATATCAGAAATTAACTGCAATATTCTTCTCACTGAGGTTAACTCTGAACCTGAAAATGAGGCTTCAGAATATCAGTATTACTGTTTATTCTCTCTGCTAACAACTGCACTATATCTCAATGTACTACGCCTAATAGTTAAAGTTGGAGATACACTGAAAACAGGCAAATGATTTCAAAATCTGGACAGGCACCTAATGAAGAAAGTGCCATCCAGAATTCTAAAATCACTGACTTCTTAACAAACACAAGAAGAGCTAGTATATCGTTTATTCAGTGACCAGAATAAAGCCCTGACTTTCCTAGCTGCTAGAATCATAGAATCATAGAATGGTTTGGGTTGGAAAGGACCTTAAGACCAGCTAGCTCCAACCCCCCTGCCATGGGCAGGGACACCTTGCAGTAAACCATTTCACTCAAGACTCCATCCAACCTGGCCTTGAACAATGCAGGGATGGAGCATTCACCACTTCTTTGGGCAACCCATTCCAGCACCTCACCACCCTCACAGTAAAGAACTTCTTCCTTATATCTAACCTGAACTTCCCCAGTTTTAAGTTTTAACCCATAACCCCTTGTCCTATCACTACAGGGCCTAATGAAGAGTCTCAGAAGCTTCACATACTGTATCTTTTTTGACACCTCCTGTATGGATACATTGTCAAAGCATAATGGGGCATTGCACAGAAAAAGTAAGGAGATCAAAAAAAGAAAAAAAGGGATTAGATTTTGCAGCACTACAAAAACATGAGCTACAAATAAAAGATTGTACTGATTAGACTGAATTTGAGATAGCTGTGGGAAAGAGAGAACTTGGCAGGAAACATGCTGAGACATGATTCTCACATTCCTCATCCACAGTTTTTATCTGCCAAAAAAGGACATGAAACATGGATTTTGATAGAGTTTAGTGCAGTATTTTAACAGCAATCAGAAACATGTAATTTTTCTTCTGCAGACAGAAGTCTATTTACTGGTATATATGCCACACCACCATACATCAGTACATTCATTGATAAAGTTAATGCTATCTTTCTGTTTCTTCAGGACAAAAGGAAGCAAATTCCAGAATGATGGAGAATAAGTTATGGGAATCTTTATTTTTCGCAGTTTTGTGCCTTATGAAAAAAGATGCCATGTCTAATTGGTCAGCAAATTGTCACAGGTGAAGGTGTCATGCTGATGTAACAATGCATGACCAAACTGTCATACTAATAGAAAGAATCCTTAGTATATGATTCAGTCTTCATCAATTACATTCTGTAGTATCTGAACTACATTCCATGGTAGATGCCATAGTTGAGCTGGGACTGAACTAAGAAAAGGATAATAAACCTGTTTGTTTGTTTGTTGGTTTTGGTTTTGTTTTTTTTAACAGCAGACAACACATTTGAGCCTATATAACTTTTCACCTTACCTATTTAATCTTTCTGTCTCCACTTCAAACTCTCGGATTTTACTCTCAGAGATAGCAGATCCATGTGAATAAAGAGTCTGAAATATTTCCTGGATGTTTGAGCAGTCTTGAAGGGAATGTGCCAAATGTTCAGCCACAGTACTAGACACCTGCACATGGCAATTAATACATTATTGTGAGTAGGTAACAACTGGATTCCTCTAACAGTAGTCTGCATTGAGAGCTGTATTTGCTTGCATGCAGTCACTTCAAGGCATTCATTATTCAGTTTTTATCACGAATTTTAAAGTTAATGAAATATTTAAAAGTTTCCACTTCAAGAAATTATTTTGATTTAAAATTCTACTAACCAAAGGGTGAAGCCCACTGTTTCATCATGTACTTAAAAAGCCTAATATGCAAGTCATTTATTTTCTTGAAAACTTAGCAAAAAGCAAGAGCTAAGTTCTTCAGTGAAACAAATATTAACACATAGTAACAACAGCATTATGGATGGACACTGGCATCACAAAGCAGAATGTGGTTCTCTGTTGACTGGAAGTTGTGAAATGCAATTGAACAGTGTTTCCTTGAAGAATAATATTTTGGAGGAATTGACTCCAATATTATCCTCTCGAGGTCACTCAGAGAATGATTTCTAGCCATCAGCTATGAGAAAATGAGATCTTAATAGTGGGTGAAATATTCTCTGTTGAAATATTTTTCCCAAAATAACTTTAAAAGTATTTCCAGTTAGCAAGAAAACAATGCTTTTAATTGAACGCAAATAATTTTCAGAACGTATCATGCATGTACGTAATTATTAGTCCTTACCCCTATGCTGCTGATTTCTGATCCTAAGACAGGCCTATCAGATGATGAAGACTCTGATCTTGTCTTTGACAACTTCACTCTTTCAGCAATCTGGAAGTCAGAATGCTGCACAGGTTACAAACTCAATAAAGATTACATAAAATTTATTTGTTCACTAGCTACACTTGCAAACCTGGAATAAACTTCAGTACAACATAGCTGTAAAATTGACACCTGTGTTGTAATGGAGAATTACAATAATTAGTGCTTAAATCCTTTATGCAGCTAAAGTTTATGGGCCTGCTTAGGATACCAGAAACTCTGGAGATTACAGGTGTCTCCTAGTTCATCACACACTTGTACAGCAGCTTTGCAAAAGCTGTGCTTTTCCCCGATAATCACAAGTACTGCTGGAAAACACAATAGCTCACCTTGGCTACGGGAATGTCATTGCTACTGCTGCTTGTGCTCAGCTCTCCGGTACTGGGGTTAATGGGTCGACTGGCAGAAGTGAGACGACTTGGGCTGGATGGGCCTGTGGCCTGTACGCTTTGTAAACGTGTTTGCAGCTCCCGAACCTACAGTAAAACATAACATACTGGTTTTTCCACTTTTATGTTTTAAATAGTTTGAAGATTTTCTCGTTGTTTAACTGAGCCTAATTGCTTCTGGCTTGAGAACTGAAGTTGTATTTTGTCCTGTGGTGGCTACAAAGTTTTCATGTGGGAAGCAGATGAATGGACATTGTTTTAAAAATTCATTGTCAGTTATTTTAAACTATCTGCAACGTGGAAACATGCAAAAGTAATACTGTAGAGTACACAAAGTTTCAGCATGTTTTATATAACCTCATAAGTGCAGCTGTACTATACGTATAGAAATTATTCTCTCTAGGGTGAAGCTAATGCTCCAGCCTATGATTATGATGTCCAAACAAATCAAATTAAGATCCTACTGTTAATGGAAAGCTCCAGTGTTTAAAAGACTCCTGACATAAATATATCAGATGATGACTTTGACATAAAGGTCAGAGAAATTCAAATATTAATTGTGCTTTCAAACCTACAGTTAAGTAAAGCTACCAAATAGTGAGTAATGTACAGACATGAAAACTCCAGCAAATTACCCGTCTGCAGAACTGCTCTGTAAACATACACTGCAAACACTGCAAACACTGCACAGTCCTCAAAACACCAAAAGATTTTAAGGATTAAGGGTAAAAAAAATCTGCAGGAGCCAAACTATAGCTGAGCTAAAGATTATAGTATTTACCCTGGAACAGACAAAGAATAAATGGTCTGCCTAAGAGAAAACGATTATGCCACAAGGTAAAGTGACAGCTCATTTTTCCCACAGAATCTCAAAGGAAGAGTGTGAGATGAGAGGGAGAAAGCCACCTGAAGAGGAAACTTCCCCGAATATGGGGAATTTTCTGTGCAGATTTTGTTGTTAACAGTCCATCTACAAGATGGAACTGGTGAAATTTTACCAAAGGCCCAGTGCAATGAGGCATTGTTTAAAAGCAAACAAACAGGAAAACCACTAGGGATGTATTCTCCATAAAAATCAAATCCCTGCCTCAAAATCTGACTTAAAAATTGCTAAAATATTATTCCATGCCCACAATCTAGTTCTGGAAGATTTCAGTGCAAAAGCAAGTAACAGTCAGAATTTAAGGCAACCAGAGTATTAAAGTCACTAAAAATGCTAAGCATTTGTTAACTCCAAAGTTTAAAAACATGTTATGTTAGGATAACATTATATAAAACTTTAATGCAGATAGGTTTCCTTTAATGTTTGTTTTTTGTTTTATTACTGCACACTGACTATTGGCCATGATTACAAAGCCAATTATTCTTAAGGATCTGTAAAACAACATTAGCAACAGAAAGAAAAATGAACACAGCTAAGACTGTAGCCAGTCAAATCTTTCCTCAGGAAAGCATTTACAGAAGAAAACTCAAAGCACAGCACAGTTATCAACCTATGCAAATTGCTGCTTTCAAACTGTATCATAGAAGCAACCACAACTTACATACACTGTCTACTTATTCATGCTTCTTGATGTATTCACTGATTCACACCTTCATTTGAGAAATTACATGCTGGATTAATTGCTATAAATGGCTGCACTAACTTTAGCAATGCTGAGTACTGGATGGTAATTCTGAGCAGGACATGGGTCACAAGTTCATATGACCTATAAAATCACCTATCTCACAATTCACACATTCACTAAGCTGGAGCCTCACCACTGGATTGCCCACCCACCAGAGCGCCCAGAGGCAGCTTAGGTAACTATTTCTGGTCATCAAAACCTCCACTGTATATAGAGCAGTAATGCACCATCTCCTCAAAAAGTACTTTTCCACACTAGTAGTTATTTTACTGGAAAAATAAGGAAGACCAAAGAACAAGAATCAAGAAAGAAAAAAAAAAGACTTCAGAAGACCCAGTTTTTTCTCTGGATCCATGAATGCATGAGTTTTGAAAGGACAAGTATGATTAAAAATATCTGACCACCCTGGCTCAATGCTGCTACCCATTTTAAGTGTCATTACCAATATAAATTAATGTGAAGGTAACATTTATTAGTAGAATGAAGGTAATTACAGTAATGCACATGAGGCACAATAAGCACTTGGGAGAGAGAGGAAGGGCAGGTCTTACAGGAAATGGATGATAAAATTGAAAAATCTGATGGGTGAAGACAAACAATGAAACAAAACCAAAAAAGCTCCACTGAAAGACAGGAAAGTGTGGATTTGTGAGTTGGGGAGGAATAACAAGGAAGGATTTAAAGACAGATTTCTTCAGCTCTTGCATCATATTAGGACATAAAAATTGCCTAATCATCCTAAAACTCTCAACTGAAATGGAATGTGGCTGACTGGCAAATCTAATTATATGATCAGGAAAAACAAACAAACAAACAAACCACCAAAAACCAAAAACCGAGGAAAAAATGAGAAATTCAGGAAAGAATCTGTGAATACCACAATTTAAAAAAGGAAAGAGCAAAGATTTTCTAAACAACTGGAGGAAGTCCAAAGAATTCCAGAAGTAAAATAGTGCTGGAACCTTAGAAAAAGCAGAAGCAGCAACATTAAATCAGACACAAGGCAACAGAACCATTAGACCTGAGAGCAACAGATAGCCTATATACCAAACAGATGTTTGCATGTGACTTACAGATGTTCTCAAATTATTAATATAAACTTAAATAACTGGAAATTTTATTTAATTACTACTTGATGTTTAGCAATATGAACTAATTGTTTACCATTTTTTTCCTCTGAATGCTGAGAACTGGAGTAGGAAACAGGGAAAACAATTCTTCCTGCCATAATACCTTAAGAACTAAATAAAAAGACAGCAAGAGTAGAAGAGAATACACTACAGTAATGCTGGATTTCTGAAAGATTTCATAAGTCATTAGCAGGCATTACAAACATGTTTGCAGAAATGCATAGTGCGCTACAGAAAATAATCTGGCAAAATATACTCATTATCTACAATCATGAATCTAAAAAAAATAATTTTACTCTTTGTATTTTACACATGCATACTCATAACTACATGATTTGTAGTAATATCCTAAATTATTATTTGTAGTAATATCTTAAATTAAAAAACAAACAAAACAAACCCACAGATAAAGACTACCTGTTTTGTCACTGATTTCCACGTTCAAAAGACAACTGCTTTTGTTCCCAAACCAGTTTCAAAAAGGGACATGGTTGTGATTCTTTTCTACCCTACCTGTGGCCTGTTCCATCATGCAGCATCTTTGAACCCTTCAAGCAGTTAACATTTTTACCACTCCAATTTTTTTCCTTGCTACATTGTGGAGGAAGATGAAGTGCAACAAATCACACGAAGTGAACAGACCTCTCCCACTTTCTAATTTATCCATGCATACTGCAAATCTGTGGAGGGTGGCGTGGTTTAAGCCCAGCTGGTAACTTAGCACCATGCAGCAGCTCACTCACCTTTCCCCTTCCCCCTTCCCTGGGGATGGGGGAGGAGAATCAAAAGAATGTAAACCCCATGGGCTGAGATAAGAACAGCTTGGTAAATGAAGTATAATATAACACTGCTACTACTACTACTACTGATAACAGGAGTAACAAGGGGAGAGAATATAAAACTAAATAGGGAAGAAAAAAAACAGTAAGCAGCAGTGATGCACAATACACTGCTCAGCACCCACCAACCAATATCCAGCCTGACCCGAGCAGCAATCCGCCCCTCTGGGTAATTCCGCCCAGTTTATATACTGGGCATGACGTGCTGTGGCATGGAATAACCCTTTGAACATTTCAGGTCAGGTGTTGTATCTCTGTTTCCTCCTGGTTTCTTGTGCTCCTTCTCATCACAGAGCATGATAGACTGAAAAGTCCTTGATAAGGCAAGTGCTACTGAGCATCAGTGTGTTATCAGCATTGTTTTCAGACTAAAGCCAAAACACAGCAATGCACCAGCTACTAAGAAGACAAATAACTATCCCAGCCAAAACCAGGACAGAAGGGAAGATGGAAAATGAAATAATCTGGAAATAGATTTTGGCTGCTACCTCAGGTTTCTGGTGTGCACCAAGAGACAAGGAGACAGAACAGTTCGAGGATCACTTTAAACTGCAAGCTCACAAAGGCCCATAACATAACATATCAGCCTTCTCTAGCAATCTGAAACAATACCTTCTGATCCCAACATATGGTGCCAAACAAGGATAATGAGCAGCTTGTGCGAGCTTCCTGTTACCCGAGAACAGTCGGGGCTCAAGGATGCCTGCAAGGCAAAAGATCTGCTGCTGTGGTTTGGGTAGGTTTGAACTTCTTGCAACAGCAAGGTATTTTGGGAGAGTCCTTATACTAAAATAAAGTTTCTCAGAGTGGGGACAATCCGGGCAGCTGGAGGGATCACACATTAAAAATGGCACTTTTATGCTCCTCTGCAGATTAGTTTTCATGAAGCTCTTAAATTGAAGATACCTAAAATACTAAGTCTGGTTTTGTTCTGTTCAGTTTGGTGAATTCAGGTGAGTTTGGAGCACATACAGATTGATTTTCGCAACTAAAAGCATCTGATTAACTGAACAAGTTGACATATGGTAGAGAACAGACTTGACAGACTTTCAGAGCTGGAACTGCCTTTTCACTCTAGGCTAAGTTCTTCAGAACAGCCTCAGGGAAGCCTGAACGCTGCCCACACCTACTGCTTCTCATGCCAGCAGGCTGCTTGGGACTAATCATCTGGTAACTTTCATGGGCAGCAATTGCAGTCACGATGGAATTTATATGCTGTATCAGTGCTGCTCATCTGACTCCCGTGGTGGATACAAGAGATTTTGTGTAAGGATGCCACATTACTTCTTCTACTACTATTTAAGCCTGTTTCCACAAATAACAGTTGTAAACAGTGCTGACTTGATTACAACCTTATTCTCATGTAATAATAATCCCATTATCTAGTACAGAAGTTTCCCAGCATTTTATCTGCATTACTAGATTCAGGATTATGGTCAGCTATGCGTAAACATTTTCTAAGGCACTGACTGGCCCAGACTTTAAATAGATCTGATTTTTAATACAGCAATATTATACAGAGGTAAAATAAACCTCTGTGTTATGAAATTAGCTGCTACACTACAGGCACCCTACAGAAATAAGAGATTACCTCATTTACTAATGACCCATAAGAAACAAACTACATATGTATGTTGTCTCTTAGCTACTCTTCTAGTAAGCAGCTCACTCTGTTAACTGAGCACAGTAAATACCTAATTTAATTACATCTCCAATGAGCCTGAGACAAATGTATTGAAAGCACTCTACTTGATTACAGACTGTCTAAAGTAACAGACCTATCGATCTGGTCAACTTCAAGCTTACTCACCTCACCCAATTTAATTTGAGAAGAACAGTAACTAGATTTTACTTGGAACTCCTTCCCACTCTCCAGGGGAATAATCTGAAGTAACTTTGAGTTCAGGTGGCATACAGAAAATATTTGATAGGTCAAACATTTATTTTGTTGCAACTATGGACACAGAGTTACATCAAAAATGCAAATGTGGTTTCCAGTGAGATAATTACATAGTGTTGCTCGCCGGGTCATATGCCATGAACAAACTTCTCTGGTGGGGGTAATAAAGTGGTTGTTCTGCAAGTTCAGGATGATACTAAAATCCGTATTTCAGTAAAGTCCTGTACATGTGCAAACTAAATGAAAACTATCGGGGGGGGGGGGGGGGGGGGGGGGGGCGGGGCAGAAGGAACCCTAACCAACCAACTAACCACCACCTGCCAGCTGTGCCTGAATATAGAGGCTGCTTGATTCTGCTATGCTCTGTGCCAGTCCAACATTAACCCTTTGTTCACTGGGCAAGACATCCGTCCAATCTGTCCAAGAAAAATTCCCTTAATTAAAGGAGAATGAACATTTAAACTGGCTTGCTCTTTACAAAAGACAGCTCACAGTCTCTACAGAGCAATTCAAGACTCGCCGGGGTCAGTGGTCTGAACACTGTTTGGGTCAGTAATATCCCCGCTGCTGCTACCATCTGTAACTGCTCTAACCACTTAGGTGATCAACAAGTTGATGACCTCAATTCTGTTTCCACCAGAGATGCTTCCATAACAGATACATTAAGAACACATGCAGCATCCCCAATAACAGATCCAATAGATCAGCAACTACTAGATCAGCATGATTTTAGCCTAGGCCCTGCCTATGGTAAAGAAATTGTGAAATACTCAATAATACAGCCAGTACTCGTGGGGCTCCACCAAAGCTTGGTTCACAGGGACTGACCAAGTCAAGCAGTATCCACACGCACAGAACTGAAGAGCATCTTCCTCATCATCTAACCCAACCCTCTGCTACTGCTGTCAGCCAGACAAAACATAACAGTTTTGTGCAGAGATACTAAGGTTAACTCTTGAATTAATGCAGCTCTATTAACTGGACCAATAAAAGTACACTTTTTTGCTTTCCTTTGGATACAATCCTAATGTAACAATCCTGGTTTTAATGGTTATCCCTGCACAGTATTTAATTTCATGATATAAACTTTCCCTATAACTTATTATTTATGTTTATACATAAATTATATATATTTATATATACATAAATTGCATATGTAGTTCATTACATATAACTTTAATATTTTAAAACTCCATATACAAAGTAGTAGCCTTACTCCTTACTGTTTCTTCAGAACCACAGTCCTCTTGTCTGTTAGATACCTCATAGTCTAATTTCTGGCCTAATACAGCCGCAAGTGGTTTACATTAATCCATTCTTGCTCCAGTTTTGTCCCTATGTTTGAGTAGCCATTAGTTTTCATTCTTACCTCCTTTCTCCAGTACTTGTAAAGAGAAAGCAAATTCAGATTTTCTTTGCAGCTTGAAGAGGACAATCTCTTTAAGTCACTTCTCAAAGTAAGCTACCCATTCCCCTGAGCATCTTCTACATCATTTTTGCCAATTTAAGCAGAACTTTTTCAAGTGTAAACAGTAAGAACTACATATAACATTTCAGACCAGATCCCACCACTCTTTATACAGTCTTTCCAATCTCTACTGGAAATAACTTATTTGGTGCAACCTAGGATTGAATATGCCACTATGCATCAACAGCTCCACCACTGCTGATCCCTGAGGGTACAAACACCAATTGTTTCTCTTTTTCTGTTTTGGATTTTTTTTGGTTTTTTTGTTTTTTTTTTCTGAGGAGCTCCTGGCTGTCAGCATAAATGCTTGCTACCAATCTTTTTAGCACCTTAACCTGTATTCTATACTTCACAGAATCATAGAATAGTTCGGGTTGGAAATGACCTTAAGACCATTTGGTTCCAACCGCCCTGCCATGTACTTCTCACACATTAAATCTTTCTCTATTAATTCTGTCTTCAAGGCTACCTATTTTTGACTTGTTTGATATCCCAGTACTTATCTGTATCATCTGATAGTGTCAATATCTGCATTTGTGTAAGCAAATTTCAGAAGCAAATACTCTGTCCTCTGCTCACTTACCCCCTTCTTCTCCCACCCCCATCCTGCAACCTGCTATAATTCAGCAGGTGCATAAATGCTACTTCTGTAGCTCAAGGGGTAGTATTGCCTCTGTTTAAAACAGAAGAGTCAGTATAAAACCAGTCTTCAGGACTGAAGACGTCTTACACTTACAGTATATCATAAAAATAAATTTTACAAAGGAAAAGTTGAAGTGGTCCTGTTTTATGTGACTGCAGATTACTATTCTTCCCTCATCACACATACCTTTTGTTAGTGTTAAAGAGAATCTAGACAGTTTTTCAAAGGTAATTTGTGACTCTGTCTCTGAGGACTGTAACACTCACACAAGCTTCATGCTAAAATGATACAGTCACTAGGAAACTACATTGTTTCAGCAACAGTATTTGTCAAAAAGGTTGATCTGCTGCCAGTAGGTAAAGAGCAACACTTACAGTAATTTTACCAAAATACAGTCGCCTAAACTGTCACTCAGATTTAACACATAAACTTGAAACTGCCTGTTCTAAAAACAAATTATTTCCCATCTAGCCAAAAGTCTGCAGATTCAACAGGGACCAGTTAACAAATTTTAAAAGTAATTGAGCCTGAGGTCATGTTCTTTTGGAACTTTCATCCTTTGTGCATCATTTCCCAGGTTACTTTACTCTGGACTCCGCACAAAGCACAAGGGCTTTATCTGACCTTGCAGCACTACAGAATGTAGACAGGCAAGCAGGACACAGCTGGGACTATTCATTGTTCAGTTCTGAGAATTATTACCCTCTGACAGGAGTCCTGCTCTTTTCCTTTCTCCTAATCAGAAACTGAATTCCCATCAAAAACAAAGAAATATCTGTTGCTTACAGGAAAAAAAATGCCTCTCAGGAAAAATCACTAAATGAACATCTGCTTTCTTTATAGTCGAGTTACATATGCTTCCTTGGAGACGAGTATCAGGTTTTTTGGTAACTCATCATTTCTGATATCAGGTTGTTGTACACTCTGGCTGTTCATCAGACAATCTTTTTCAACTATGTTCAGGTTTGTTCCAGTTCTTTAATTTGTATGGCTCAGCTTTAAAAACAAAAAGCCCTACAGTCAGTGCAGGAAGCAAGATTAAAGAGAAGCTTGTTGTAGTGACAAAATTATACAGGTTAGGAAGAACAAGAAGCATGATCAATACAGTAGCCTTACCCTTCTACGCAGCCTGTCCCTTTCTTCACGAATAGCATTCATGGTGGCCTTGGTCCTGTTCAGCTCCTCCTCTTTGCTACACAGCATGGCTGTGAGGCTCTCATTCTCTTCCTGCAGGCCAGCTAGCTCCTTTTCCCATTGAGATCTCTCTTCAGACAGATTTGGATAAAGGTCACGTCCCAGTACACACTCAATCTCTTCCACAGTCTGCAAAAATACAGTCATCAAAAACCAGAAAGGAGCAGAAAAAAAGACTGAACAAGACCAATGGTACAAAGGACATGTGTGCAACACGCAACTATAGATACAGTTGTATGTACATACCAGCCCCACAACACCATTAGTTTGCTTCTTTTGCTTCATAAGTAAATACAAAAAAAAAAATAATTGTTGCTTAGTTTGGCCATTTAATCAAAATATTTCATACTGACCAGCATACATTTTATGAGCAAGAGAAACATGTCACCCAAGAGTGACAGCAATTGTGGTAGTTTTATCTCAGAACACTTTAAAACAAATTAATGACACCTTGTCATGGGTAAGCACTGTGCTGCTTGTTTCTTGCCTGAATGACAGGCAGAAAGCAGCAGCCTGTGAATGTGCATATCACGGAGTTTTTCTTAGCTCTGAACCAACTCCACAAAAGAGAAAAGAGTGGGATAGTAAAAAAAGAGGAGCCTCCTTTCCCATGTTGCTAAGCACGTTCTTTCCTAGAGGTGAGAGAGAGATAAAAGAAAGAACGCTGGCCTCAGCTAGGCTTATGTTATATAGAAGATGTTACAGCCCTTGTAGTGACTACAAAAGGCAGTAAGCTTAAACTTCTTTTCTAAAAGAGCAATGCCTTGTATCAGTTTCACTTGGACCTACACATCTGAAACTATGACAAGGTAAGTTATTTCAATACCACATGAAGATGAATTTAAGTTCTGAATAAGCACAGAGTGGTTAATCCTACAGTCTGAAGAGAACTTCTGTAACGGCAGGAGCATTCTTTCTTGATGATGCCAGCCTTCTTTCAAACAGTGCCTCTTCATTATTGTGTTCTCCTCTCCCATCTTCACTCAAACTCTCCTCTTTCTTCCATGCTTTCTCCTCACCCCTCTAATGCCAAGTTCTGCTGCTGCCTCCCTCTACCTTATTCCCGTGCTCCTAGTGTTGCTATCTGTGCAACCCCTCCTTTCCCAAAGACTCTTCTCCTCAGAGCACAGCTGGGGTTGATAAGCCTGGAGCAACACTGAAAGACTGTAATGAAGTAGCAGGAACAGGGGCTTATCACAGAGCTATCTTCAGACAGGCTGCTGCTGTTTCTCCAGACTCCACTGCTACCATCTGCCTACGCAAGTACAAAGTTCAGGCAGTGACAGCATCAGCATGCATGTGACAGTCATACTAAGGGCTGCCCTGTAGTCCTTAACAAAGCTGAGGGACCTTTCTGCATGTGGCTATGCTCCTTCATTTTGACATGACCAATAGCCTTTTGCTCACTAAAATATTACCACAATTCTCCTGTTTGACAACCAACACGCTACCATCCTCGATGGTAAATAAAATATCAATACTATACATGGATATACCTATGTAAACTACCAGGGTTTTATTTTTTTCTAAAGCAGTATCACAGAGCAGTTTTATCCAGCCTGCTGCTGCACAGCAGATAAATTAGGTATAATTTCATGGATCACAGGATCGCATTGCAATGTAATGTAGTAAAGAAGAAAAAAGCCAACAGTCAAAGCAAAAGACAGCCAGAATATTTCAGACTTCCTTTCATGATTCCACTCATTTTAAGTCTCCAAGTTCTCTGTCTGAGAAAGCAGGAAAGGAGCCATGGGTGGAACTCTGGAGAGGAGCTTTACATGTAGGTTTTGCTATATTAAACATATTGATGACACATTTCTCTAGCTTATAATGGGACCATGTTGGAGAGATTCCTATCTTCCTGAAAGGTTAATAACCTTATCATGCTATCACTTGTCAAACACAAACAATCCCAGGCTCTATAGCATAGGCAGTGAGGAAAAGTCTTCCCCAAAAATGGCTATCCATGTAGAGATCACATGAAAACAAAATGCCTGCATTTTGGACCAGGAAAAAGTTGCTGACAGTTACTTATGAAAATTTGGCTGTAGTTAATTTGAAGCAACAGCAAATAAATGGGGTTAAAATAAAAATGTTGAGAATTAAGATTATGGCAGCTACTTTTGACAGTTTTTTGAAGCTACCTCCTGTGCAAGTTTTCATTTCATCTCACTTTGGAGACCTCTCTGGACCTTACATAGACCAGCCTCTATCTGTTTTCCAAGATCCACAATCTTTCTCTTGGTGAATGTTGACTTCTGAGAATACTTACCCTTAAAGCACCATATAATATTGAGTAACATTAAAAGTATTGATCCTAATCCTTCAAGACTCTCAAACAAACTACTTTAAGACTGTTACCAAGAAACCCAGAAGTCAGGCTTCCTGTTGCTCTCAAATATACCCACAGTCTTCAAACTACAACTCAACATTTATTTCTTCATACACCTTTATATTCTTCCACCAGCAGGAATAGCGAGGACCTTTCCCAGTAGTATGCAAAAGTGTCTAAGTCATCTAGATTGGTCACAGACCTCCCCATTTTAACAGCAAACTTGTCACTGTATTTGTTTTTATATGAATGAGTCACTGACACAGAAAGCTTGTTCATCTCATTCCCTGCATGTAGTTAGATACTTTTCAGTTCTCTTGGTTTCAGGTTCTGAATTGCAATCCCTTCATTATATGTGCTATCGGGCATCCCTATTCTGGTTCTGTTTACATATACAATAAAACCAAGACATACAATCAGTTGAATTATTGTTCCTGTGTCTGGCATGTCTCATTAGAATTCATGTAACAGGCATGCTTTGTGTTAAACACTAGCTTCATATTTTAAGACAGTCAAGTCACCACTTACACACACTTTAAGTCATTTTATCTTCAAATTTCAGCAAGTATTACATACTGTGCTTTCAGTTACCTGTCAGTGAGTAGCTGTGTGACCTGTGACCTTGGGCAAATCACAACTTATTTACTACATAACCTTCAGAAGATAAATTAAATGCTGAGTGTCCCTGTTCCTCTGAAATGAGCATAAGACAAATACATTTCTCATTTGTTATTGAAATTCTGCTAGTAGCTTCTCTGGGCCTTGGAGAATTCAGTGTAAAACAGGCATGCTACTGCTTACCCAACACACAGTGAGCTGGAGTTGATTTCTGTGAAGTACTTTACTTTGAGACCTTTGGAAGTAAAGTGCTATTACAACAGAATGTGACAGGATGCTTCAGGCAAAGTGCATGCTGCATTTAGAGCTTAATGTTACCATTACCTTAATGGCTAAATCACAATGTTTGCTGGCGGTAGTGAGTTGTTCAATATGTCTATCCACTTCTGCTACCGATAAACTGCAGCTGCTTTTCTTCCTCCCGCAGACAACATTTTCCAGACCTGTTAGCACTCTTTGCAGTTCTGAATTCAAGTCACTACAGTTATCTAAAAGAAAGCAAAACAAAACAAGAATTATCTCAATAATTAGTGACTCAGTGAAAAGAAAAATTAAGCCAGGAAGTGCCTGTTCCAGAACCACTGCACTGATGTTGTTCAAGGAATGTCCTTGCAATATGCCCATTTTTCCTCACAAAGTGATATGCTTAAACACCATAACCACATTAACTGAAATGATGAATTACCTCCCATCTGACAAAAACCCCTCCCCTATTTATCTGAAGTGTTCGTTCTTTATTCAAAGACCTCTTGTTTTCTGAAGAGCATCACTTTAAGACACCACATGCTCACATAACATGGATTTTCTTTTTTGTTGGTTTTTTTTTTTTTTTCCTGCCTAGAAATAGGCCTTTTCAGGGCCTATTACTCTGATTTTATTATCCCTAGAGGTTTTTCCTCTGTAAATTCTATATATTTTTCTGCCTGGTACACTCACTGACACTACAACTTGACATTTTTCGAAGGAATTTTTGTCATTGTACTTACAAGCTGCCTGATTTTAAAAAATCCTGGTGTTTAGAGAAATGATCCCTATCTATATGTTTCCTTTTTACAGCTATTTCTTCTTCAAATGCAACTGCAGAATATTCAGGGACCATAACAACACACCTTGTTGTTTGTTATGTTCCATAATTCTACAACCACGTTAGCAGCATATATAACACTATTTTGATTATAAAATGTGACAGTCACTTCCTTTTCTGTCTTTAGGCAAAGCTCTTCTAGTGTCCTGGGCATTGCCACAGCATCCTCCATTTCTGTGAAAGCAGTGGTTCTTAGTACCATGCTATCTCACTTCAAAAAAATATTTTCGTTTTTCTTAAGCTTACACATGACAACAGACAGTGGCAGCTCCTAAGGCAGGCACATGGTAGAATTCACCCTTGTGCTCTCTTGGCTGTGCTATTATTTCTGGCATACTACTTCAGAGTTTGCAGCAACTACCAACTGTAAAGCATGCAAGTGGTACACTATGAGAGAGTAGTGCTACACATTACTAAAACCAATAGCAGGCATCCTTGCTGGAGCATGTTATTTCTATACAACTGCTGCAAGCATTTAACTCATAGCTGTGGCTCTTACAGGGAACTAAAGTAGCATGGCATTTAATAGACATGAGACACAAGATTACTGTAGACTGCCTTGATATCTCTCTGTGCAAGAGAAGACTGAAAGCATTTGGATGAAGGGATGAGATGATCAGAAAGTAAAAAAATCCTGTAAATGTGCTGCCACAAAAACACCTCAACAGACTAATGCAGAAACATGAAACTATCACTGACCAAAAAGAACAGTTTGGAATGATGTCACAGTATTGTGACATGAAAAATGTGAATGGCCACTACATACAAAACTTTACTCCTGGAAGTCATATTCACTAGTTCCTGACTAGCAGCCACTCATCTGTTGTAGTAATTCCAAAAATCCCTCTACAGTAACACTTACTTATGAGCAGCAAATACTGAGCAGGATGCTTAATTGTAAAACCCTCTATTCTGTTTGTTTGAATTTATTTGTTTCCATAGCATCTCCTGTAACAGACATTTTGCCTATTTAAAAAAGCTTCACAAGACCTTGTACACTTTTCGTTTCTACAATAACACTGTCCCCAGAAATTCAGGTTTTATGGAATCCTAGTATCTCAGAATCATACAATGGTTTGGGTTGAAAGGAACCTTAAAGCTCACCCAGTTCCAACCTCTTGCCATGGGCAGGGACACTCTCCACTAGACCAGGTTGCTCCAAATCCCATCCAAGCCAGGCCTTGAACACTGACAGGGATGTGGCAGCCACAGCTTCTCTGGGCAACCTGTGCCAGCATAAGACCACCCTCACAGGGAAGATTATCTTCCCAATGTCTAATCAAAATGCCCCATCTTTAAGCTGAAAGACTCTTCCCCTTGTGTTATCACTACATGCCCCTGTAAGAACTCCTTCTCCACTTTTCTCGTAGACCCCCTTTAGTACTGGATGAGAACCCTGTTTGTGCCAGAAAACTAGTACAAACCAATCACAAGCACTGGAGAGTATTCACACTTTTAGCTCTTGGAGTTTTACTGCCTGTAGTGATAGAGCAGTATATCCACATGCATTAGTGTATCTTGTTATATTATTTATTACATCACTGATGTTCATTACATTAGGGCAGTAAGCAAGGTAGTGCACATTGTTATTAGGTCATGATTTTTTATCCTTATATACCTGTACCTAGAAGAATAAAAAAATATATCCATATTTGTGTATATATATGTATGTGTGTGCATACGCACACAACAGGATTTATTTTCACAGGAATACAGACACAAACACCAAAAAGGACAGAATCCATAGAAGAATTACAAGAAAAAAGAAGCAAAATATGAAAAAAAAAAAAAGCAAGAATCCCTTCAGTTAACATTCTTATTTTCTCCATTGCTGTATTTCATTTTATTGCCATGTTTCCCACTGTTAGAAGAAACCTAGATGCATGACTTGCTGTTATTGTGAACAAACCCTGCCTCAGCTCCACACCATTAAGAATAAAACTGAAGCCCTAATCCCAAAATAAATGCTTAAAAGTAAATCAGTTAGATTTTTTTTTTTAGTAAAAAAAAGAGGAAAAAAAATGAAAGTCCTAATGTTAGAATCTATTCAAGTAGAAAATAGTATGTATCAACTTCTGAAAGTAAAATTAGAGATGTGCACATCTACAGGGATATGACATTGTTGGAATCACAGAAACATGGTGGGATGGCTCCTGTGATTGGAGTGTTGGAATTGAAGGTTACAGGCTCTTTAGGAAAGGCAGGCCAGACAGAAGGGGAAGGAGGTGTAGCTATTTATGTCAATGATAGGCTGGAAAGTGTGGAACTCTGCCTGGGATGGGTGATGAGTCAACGGAAAGCTTGTGGGTCAGGGTCAAAGGGAGAACTGTGATGGGGGACATTACTGTAGGGGTCTGCTACAGGCTGCCTGATCAGGAGGACTGTGTAGATGTAGCCTGATCAGGAGGAATGTGTAGATGTAGCCTGATCAGGAGGACTGTGTAGATGTAGCCTGACCAGGAGGACTGTGTAGATGTAGCCTGATCAGGAGGACTGTGTAGATGTAGCCCTCTATAGACAGATATACTCACAGGCCCTTGTCCTCGTGGGAAAGAATATAGGGACACTGTTTGGGAAGCTAGGGACCAGGTCTTGCCTTTATAAATACACAACTCCAGAGCCGGTGTATTCATTTCAATTTAAGAAAATGTACAGAAAACCTTTTTTATATGGTAGCTTACAATATCAGCATGTTTTCTTCATTATTAAAGTCCATCTGAAGGCAATGAATATTATGCCCACAAGTCAGCCTTCTCTGGAGTCCACACTTCTAAACGGCACCACACTGGAACAAGCAGCAAGAAGTTCTCAGTAATAAAGTGCACTGCTCAAACATGTGGAAACCGCTTTAATACAGTTCCTTATGTATGGAAGTAAACATTGCATGATGCATTATAACCATGAAAGCGTCATGTGGAGTTAAGAGTTTATTACTTAAGCATCAAAAGTTCCGCAGCAGGGCTTAAGAGTAGTACTATTTCAGTGATTTCCTAGAACACTCACTGCTCATGTACATTATCACCCACAGAAGTTCACCCACCAGACATTCAGCTAATTTACCCAGGGAAGAAAATGAAGACCAAGTATTTGATTCTAAATATAAATTAAAAGAAATAGTATTCTGAATAGAATTCTGGAAATCAGTCACAGTGAGGATTACATGACACTTCTGCTAGTCTACAGCTGTAAGGGTGGTGAGGCACTGGAATGGGTTGCCCAAGGAAGTTGTGAATGCTCCATCTCTGGTGGTGTTCAAGGCCAGGCTGGACAGAGCCTTGGGTGACATGGTTCAGTGTAAGGTGTTCCTGCCCATGGCAGGAGGGTTGGAACTAGACGATCTTAAAGTCCTTTCCAACCCTAACTATTCTATGATTCTATGAAAACACTATCATACTGAAGGCCTATTATCTGCTCATGCTTACATTGCAAACTTTATGGAGTAATTATTCCATACTTGGAGCTTCTTCAAAGGATCAGTAATTGTGCTTGGATGACAAAACAGATGATATTCTGAAAAAAAAGATGCTTGCCTTCTTAGTTCTTAACTAGAAAAAAATCAGTTACAGACTGTCTGGAGATACTCCCCTCTTGCACTGCATTTTGAATAGCCTGGGGAAGATTTATCCTTGTCTAAATCCACTTCAGTAAGCTATCACAATTCCATACTTCAAAAAGGCTGTCAAGATTTCAAAAAGTGCAGATATTCTTTATAATTAGGCTGTAAAAAACCTGGACGTGCTTCCCCTTCCCCCCCCCCCCCCCCCCCCCCCAAGTTTTACTCTGTCTGCAATTGTTTTCTAGAGTTAGACTACTTTACAGGCACAATGGTATGTGAATTGCTCTTTTTCCCCCCCTCTTCTTTCCCAAAAGTCATGAGCTTTGCTGAACAATCATTCCATTTCAGACTCAATAGCTATTCCATATCAAAGCACAGAGATTACTTCACATGTGAGATCATAGTCATGGAAAAGTTCAGTATTTTTGTGATTAACACAGCCTGGATTAATTTGTATCCTTGCAAAAGACTTTCAAAAGCTATGACACCTTTCTGCTGTAAGAAGGCATCAGAAGCATAACTCACCTACGTCTGCGGCGACCATGGTGGACTGATTCTCTGGTACTGAAACAGAATTCTGGTCCATGCTGCATGAATCTTCGTTAACCTCATGCTGGCTTTGGCTGAGCTCTGACCGCAACTCTGAATACTCATCTTCCTCCCTGTGAGAGAGAGTAAAGGCAGAAATAAATCCTCTGAAGAAATACCATGACCCTTATTTCATACCTGTAATATGAAACATTGTATGCTGAGCAGCAGGATACAATCCACAGAAGTCTAAGCCAGCAGAGGTTTTATACCCTTACTGCAAAGCAACTGTGCTATGCCCATAATGATCACTTGCAGCAGCCAACACCTCGCTTCTATTTCTTTATTTCCAAGTTCATTATTACTCCAGAAAACTAGACAAGGAAACAATGGGTGGAACTGAGTGCAAGCAAGGATGTGTGCAAGGATATACAGTGCTCTGCAATAAATCCTGAAATGGCAATTCTTAATCAGCGTAAGTGGCTTTTGATCCCAAAGTAAATTAGCAATTACTGATTTTGGTCTCCTCAGCTCAAACATGCCATCAGCTGTGAGCAAAGCAAGTGTGCACATGCACAAACCTGCACATGTGTATCAAAATGCTCCTGGGGACAAAAAATTTTTCCTTTTCTCAAAAGGAAGAGAATGTGTGAGTATAATGCTGAACTGCTGCCTCAGTTACCTAGGTTTTAACTCATTTGTCAAGCTGGTTCTACTAAAATAATTGAGGACAGAGGATACTTTAGCTAAAGCTAATGAGATTAAAAATTTAGGGCTTTTCCCTCGTCTCCACACAAAGAGCTGAAAGAAGTAGGAAAGAAGATAAGTAAATGACTAACAGCTTTGCCCGAAAACACTTGTAAACATTTCTTTCTTTTGAGCTATTTGCTGATTCAACTCAAGAGATTTTTTATTATTTTTATTGTTTTTACTTTTACAGCGACTGTTTTAACATTCAAGCGCTCATTTTAAACATAAGAACAACATCAGGTTATTCTAGTTCAAATTCCCTCTGGTA